CAGCTGACCTACCGATCCTGCGGCACCTCGCAAGAAACCTTCAACAAGGTCAACGAATTAGCTCAATTGTACCCTGGGAAAATAAAGACAAGGTGGTGCCCTAGCCACATATGGATCCTAGGCAATGAGATTGCAGCTAAAGCTGCAGGGAGAGCAGCACGGTTACCCTCTCCTAAACCCTCCCCTTTACTCTGTACAGCCACGCTTAAGAGAGAGGGAAAGGAGACAGGGATTGCGCTTGCGAAGAAGCTCTGGAGCACGACACTTCCAGCTCTCTATAAGGACCTAGGGCTCTACACCTGGTCCTCAAAGCCTAAATCTCTCCAGCTACCTAGAGAGGTCCTCGCTCGCTTAATTGCTGCTCGTTCTGGACATGGAGACTTTACGGCTTACCATCTTCGCTACTTTCACTTCGACTCGCTACTTGAGTCAGGGAATTGTAAGTGTAAGAAGGCTAAGACCCAGTTCCACCTACTCTTCTGCAAGCTAGCAAACAACAAAGACCCTAAGCTTTTAGCTAAGGCCAAGAAGAACCCCCAGCTGCTCTTTGGACATCACTGCGAGAAGCTTTTTAGCCTGGTCTACTTTAAGACCGAATTCTACACCAAAATCTGTCTCTAGTTAGACACGCCTCCTTTTCTTTCCCTTCTCGTTTAATTATATATCTCCTTTGTCTTACCCTGGTTCTAAAACTAATTAAGGATAAGGGCTGTTCCGAAAGTGGAACTTCTCTTTAAATTGTCTCTTGTAAATTAGCTCATTCGTTTACACCCCCTGTAGCCTAGGGCACCTCCCGAGCGTCATTTGCCCTATTTTGGGACTCTTCTAGGACCTAGCCCACGCGAGCTAGAATTCGCCTGACGTTAAATAGTAATAAATAAATAAATAAATAAATAAAATATACTAGGACACAATCCCTATACGAAAGTAAGTCCACGTAAGATTAATTCCTATACGATAGTACCAATTAGTAGTATATATACCTACCTACCTGCCTAGAAGTAAAAATACCTAGGTACGTGTAATCCAAGAGTGAGGATATGGGGGTATAGGCATAGTAATACTACAATAGTAAATAAACAGCTTGTACGGATTACGGTTATCCGATTCTTAGATTATCAGTATAAGGGTAAATTCAAGAAGCCGTAGGGGAGAGCGGCTACGTTTGACATCACCTAGTAGCCAGACAAGGAATCCAAGATCGATGCAGCAATAAATGAAACCACATTTCGCATTCTCATCAACTAGCTACCTATCATATCCCATCCTATCATATCATATCATCCTAAAACGAATCCCAACATACCCATTATACCCATTATACCCCATAACAGACCCACTCACCAGCCCCAAAATCCCCTAACGAAACTTTTCCTCACAAAACGTTAACCCCCCCATGTAAAAATGATCAACCATCCTGGTACCAGCCCCCAATCAAAGAGAAAAGAACGAAATCAGAAAATCATTTCAAATAGCAGAAGAAGAAATTGCAAATGAGAAAAAAACGGTATCTGGTATCTCGAATGCTAGAAAATCAAATAATCAAACTGCCGTCAAATACACATCTCTCATTTTATCTCATCGTATCATGAAAAAGCAAGAAAAGAATTAAAAATAAGAACATAGTGACAGGGTATACATACCCATCACCAACATTAAATAAATTAGCGTAAAATCAGTCTTGGTAAGTGCAAGAAAGGATCAATATCCATTCCCTCTAGTACCGTAGTACCCCGGTCCCCTAGAGGTATCTCGATACCATTCTTCCACCGGCGCTCCACGTTCTTCGGGGTCAATGGTGACAGACCCGCGTTCATAAGGGATACCATAGTGGTCAGATGTATCACTCGATCGGCCATCGTGGTAGCGATCATAACGCTCAGCATCACGAGGAGAATTGAATTCGCCATTTGCAAATCTGGAATCGTCAGGGGAATCCGGAGGGTAATCCCGCTCATCCCTTGACGAGCGATGGCGGATGTCAATAGGTGGTGGGGGTGGCGGGAATGAAGTGGATGGTCCTGTGTTATATGTGGAAAATGAAGATTGGTTGTAGGGTGGCACAAAACTCGCGGAGGGTGGTGGGGGAGGTGGAACACTATAATTTGTACCCGCGTTGAGATCTATAGGTTCGGAATTTCTGAAACTCCTCAAAGGTGGGCTATTGTTTCTTCGAGCATTTGGTTGCACACGCTCACGTGGTAGTGACGTGTAATTGGAATTCGTTGTACTTTGTGTTCGATGATGTCGTGCATCTGAGGTGTCTGGGATATCTTTGGTACGGCTCGTGGAATTTGCCCGGCCCAGTTTTGCTTTGGTACCCTGGTTAGGTTCTTCGTGAACCTTGCCATTCCCTGGCTGAGCACTGTAGGGCTGACGGTCACGCTCAATCTTTACAGCCTCTTCTTTGATAGCCGATGTTGATGGAGTGCCTGCATAAGGTTTCCGTTCCCTCTCAATAGGCTGCGATTTGGCGTTCGACTGATTTGCTTGTGTCGTAGAAGAATGCCGGCTGAGAGACGGACTTGTTATCGTTGGTTTGGACTTTTTGCTTGTTCCCAAATTCTCGTAAAAGTATCTCACAGCGTCGTCGAGCATCTTTCTCGAATCAGAATCCTCTCCTTCCGGCAGAAGGTGGCGAGAGATTTGCTTGGGTAAACGTTCGGGTTTTCCATCTACCATGGCACCATCTGCGTCGATTGGTAAATCCTTGACAACCATTTCAAGTCTCTTCCACTCCACTCCGGGGTATGCCAGGATAATGACAGTCATGAAATGTGCGAAACCAAGGGGTGTCAGTGCCGGAATTGTTGGTTCGTTCCGGAAATCATCTTGAACTAGATGGTGTTGGCAACCAATATCTCGATAGAGTTGTGATATCTGTTCGTTGGCTTGTACCCGGAAAATAGCTGGCGGATACAATAAGTCAATGTTCACATGTAATGACAATTTAACTTACTGAGAAATGGATGCGGCTCGAGTGACTCGCCCACGGAATAGTTTGAGTAATAGGTTGCGAGTTTGGCTGGTGTTACCACTATGCTCTTCTTGGGGCTAAAATCATCAACCTGGCAAAGTTGTTAAAAATGAAGCTTCTCATGTTTGCACAGTACCTACGATATGATTCGCCAGGCCCCTCAAGAACGCGCCCAGCCGCTGTGTAGGTGTGCCATGATTATCGAACAACCGGCCCCATTTTTGATCAATTGTGGACAGTTCGACGGTAGAGTAAGTTCGACCACTGGGAGCAGGACGAGTTCGTGGCTCTCGGTCGGAGAATCGTACCCCAGAGGATTTCTCTAGAGGACTAACAAGTGGGGACTTTCTAGAATCCATTGGTGGAGGTGGACCGTATGCAGTTCTGGTGGATTGTATGGGAGAAGGAGGAGTATAAACTCTGCGGGGAGGTGGGGAGGGAGAGGAGCTTGATCGTGAGTGTTCCCTTTGCATATTTTCATCTCTCGTTTGTCCGTCTACGCTGCCTGTTTGCTTTAAATGTTCCACCACTACACCGGGCGCACATGTGTTAGAATGTTTCAAGGCTGCTTTGTTAATGGATGCAACTTACGTTCTTTCTTTACCCTTTCGGTAATCTGCTCCGTCAGAGACTCCCTCAGCGCCGCAATCACCTCTGGAGATACGCCATCCATACTCGCCCCTTCAAAGCGATCGGTGCTTGAGGTTATTCTGTCGTGGTGGAGAGGAGAAGCTCGCGAGCGATCTTCTCGGTCTCGGCGACGAGAGGAGGGGTTATTATCTCGTGGCTCGTCGTCAGGGTATGCGCTGTTGTAATCAGAAAAAGCATAAGGATCTCTCGATTCGAAATAGCCCGGGTCACCGTTGCCTCGGAGGCGACCAGCGGCGTCATAAGCCATCTATTCAAACGATTGGGGTGTGGGCGAGGCTGTTACTCGAGATGTCAACGCATGTATCGATAAGTGGGTGAGTGGCTTTTGCACGAAGATGAAGACAGGATTTCGGTGTCGGGTGAAACGAAGGGGAACGGCTGGCCACAGTTTTGGGTTGGGAATGGTCGGGTCGATTATCATGCGGCTCAATGGACGAAGCAGTTCCAATTGCTCTCGCAAGGCTGGATGGGTGAATTGGTGATCGGCTGAGATTGGGTTGTTCTGCTTGGAGATTCGTGCCCAAGAGAGGCTGGCAGCGTATAGACTTCCCTTTCGTGCAGAGGATGAGGATGTGTGTGGATGTGAATGTGTATGTGTACGTATCTGTACGAGTACTGTCCTCAACCTTGGTTAGGAGGGAGAGAGCTGGTGACTGGTAGCTGCCTGGTTGGTCGGCTTGAAAAGCAAGCGCAAGGCTCCCCCTGCACTCTGCTCGATGATACTACTCAACCCCCAACCGTCACCCAAGCAGGGCAGCTCGAGGCAGGCTACGAGTACACCATTTTACCTCATGAACCAATCTACTCCAACCTCTCGGGCGTACGACCACCCACACCATACAGTAGTTATCTGTTCATGGCCACGTTCTACGACTCCAATGCTGGGGATGATATATATTAAACCCTCCATGACCTTGACTTACGCCCGACAAGAGTGGGAGAGTGGGAGCTGCAGAATCAGCGATCATGTACCTCCCGTTACACCGATTGTTTTATATCTTTAGAAAGGCATGTAACGTCCTCTTGCATGTGTCTGATATGTAAGATTACGGGAAAACATGAACAGGTTATTCCTTTTGTTGATGGAGATTTTGTGGAATCGGAAACCAAAGTAAATATCTTTTGCAGTAGCTGTGCCATTCCGCAATTCTATTTTACCTGTCAGCATCCAACGACGTCAGTCTGGCGCGACGAGGACATCATCACTTTTCGTACGGTACTGGTAGATCACCCCTCCCTTGCCACCTTGACACCCATGCCACCCTTGGGCTGCCCACTCAACTCCCCACCAACAGCTATTCCCCCACATGAAACTTGGACCAGGTTGAAGGAGTTTTGGAGATCACGTCGATACACCTACTGGTCTTTAAAACAACAGTAAAATACTACGCAAGAGTACAATTCACAAATACCTAGGCCAGCATGTAACCTTACTGTTTTAGCTAATCACCTCCTTTCCCACGAAAATGAGAGAGGCCATGGCCAGCTTCATTATTCTCTGATTCCATTCAACATTACAGGTTATGGTAGTAATCATAAGAGGCGGTTGACTTCCCTTTATGAATGGGTCTAGGGCTCGTTTGCCTACTCCGGCTAAGCCAGTCAGTCATTCAAAGGTCTGTGTCTTGGTTGGATTTCATCTTACAAATAATTGGCCACCAAAAGCTTGTGTGCTGAGCACGTTAATCTGAGTGCAATACTATTACTCAATTCAAAGGCTCGGTGTAGTACAGAATCTCTTTCCTTCGCTAAGATCGAGGTCAAAGTAAGCGACTACTCAAGTACGAGTGCAAAAGTAGTATTTCGGTAAGAGATCAAAGTCTTGTGAGGATCACCGAACACCACTAACCGAAAAACCAAAGTGCCTAGGGTTAGTTACCTGTAGCCGTGATAAAACGTCAAAACTTATCCCAAAGCCCCGCATGATATCCTAGGTAAATACGTAGAATATGTATTTTTATTCACAGACTCGCAGTCATTTGACCTCCCTTATATGTGGTGTCAATCCCGCCCGCTACAAGGCCGTCTAACTCAGACTTATCCCACGGAGCGTTTAATAATTAGCCTTGGATTTATCACATGGTACTGAACGAACATCTCGGATGCCATTCCATCCAACCACATCATAAACTTTACAGCTGTACGCCCACTTCGCTTGACCATCTAGGTGCCATTGCCATCCCATCCGAAATTCAAGTAACATTGTACAAAATCCCTCCCTGTTCCCATTTACTCCACAGAGTACAAATCTAACAATACTACAAACTTGGCCAAACTCATACCCATCCATGGCATATTCGCGTCCAGGCCGCAATGGAAAGAGCGGTTTGTTCAGTGTGAAATGGGATTATTGCTGTTTATTTGGTTCAAGCCATGTGCTACTCTTTCCTAACAAGATCTTTGGATCGAACAGTGTTTTGAGAAAGATATAGCACCAGATAGTAATTCTATAAATGCCAGATCGGAGGGATCTACTGAGTTGTATTCTTGCTATTCCCTTACTGGATTTAATATTCATTCTCGTTCTGTATTCAGAAATAGTTATAGTATAGGAATAACCGCCATACCTTAATCACGAAATGTAGAGTTTGATAATGCTATAGACATGATTATAAGTTACTGGTCGGAATTATCTCACAATCCTTGAATAACATCCAAACTTATTAAATGCGATTTAGTTAATTACCGCATATCCATCAAAACACTATTTCTTGAATAATATCCTAACATAGCTTCTAACAAAAGTTCATCCCATGAAAATATAAACATTTATTAAGAACTAGGTACTGTAACCAAAATTTTATATCCTAAGAATTACACTTATAACTTAACCACGTCTGTAATTCATATACCACGACTTACAACTCGCTACTAGGAGTCCTAAACATACGAGTAAGACAACGAAAGTTTTCCTTCGATAACTCTTTTAAGATCATACTCCTTAAACACACTAACCTCCGGGATCCGTAAGATTATAACTTTCCTACCTTTTTCCCCGGTAAAACTCTCTTCTATCCCTTATAGTTAATTCCTCTTTAACTTAAGACGATTACGTAGGTAGTAGACGATAAGAATCGAGTTATCTACGTTTATCTATACCTAAAAAGTTCTTAAAAAAGTAGCGTACTAATAAGGGTAGGGATAAAGGTAGTAAAGTTATGTAAATCCCTGAAATTAGGATATTTAAGTCGTATAATCCACTTTTAATAACAATTATGTTTTGTTTAAGACTTGTCTAGTACTACTTCTCGGGAGGATATTAAGTCGTTACGTGGTTTCTATGCGCTATACGAGTATACTTCTCGCTTTATTGATTAGAGAAGCCACGAAGTTAAGAAGTAGGAAACGTCTCCCTGACTCGGCAGTTAATGAAATAGTTATCTTTAGAGATGCCGTGGTAGATCCCTTCTTAGTAGCGTGGGTGGGGAGGGAGGAGGTTGGAACGGTGGAGTAGAAGTAGACAGCAAGATCACCTTTCGAGCCACTCGGAGTACAGCTTTCTGCGGATCCTTAGAGAGATCTTTGTAAGCTACGCTCATCACAATCTTCTACGCATGGGAAGAAGGACTTCTGGCGAGTGAGAGCCTCTTGTTTACTAGCTCACACTAGTTTACACTGTTCCGTACTCCCCGCCCCTGTACCCCACCCAGTCTCCTTAGAAGCGATTTGCTACGGTAGAGTACAGAGAAAAGGTAATTTTACACTTATCGATACGCTTCCATAGATCCCGGTATCTAGGCGAGACTGGCGGCTTTACATGTAGAACGCGGAATTAAATGGCAGTATTTTAGCGAGATAGCGGAAGATGGCACTGTAAGTAAGTCATACATAATTTGAGTCATCACGTCTCGGTACATAAGAGAATTCCGTTGGAACCGTATTTAAACAAAGTTAACCTACAGTATAGTCTTCATTATTGGTACTAGTAAAACGTTACGCATAACTCAAAATAAGCCCTACAACCCGAGAACGGGGTTATACTTTGTGCTATACTTTCAGTGGCAATCTATAACACGAGGCTGAATTTAGAATACTTGTAATCGGAGGCCCTCGTAACCCCTCTGGCCACCAGCAACATCAATCAATTAAGAATCACCTAAAAGTTTCGAATAGATAAAGAAAGCTTGGGAAGGACAAACAAATATTCGCATCTCGTAATGAGGAATTCAAATCATTTTATACCTTCTAGAACAATACATATTTGATTAAAATCTGACGTGGTGGGCGCGGAACGATGTCAGGGCTTCTTGGTTCTTGAATAAGGGTTCTTGGTCGACGTCTTCAATAAGGCATGTTATATTAAAGGTAAGGTTAGGGTATAACCCCATAGAATAGCCTTCTCCGTATGCCAATTGAAATGACCTGGTTTGGCTCTATTCTGCATGGACCTCTTTTCGGACTTTGGAAATTGGAATTAATTCCGGTTCCTGATTGGGCAGTCGTGGGGAATCATCACAGAATGCTGGGCAATTGCAACCTGCCGAGTCCCGACGTCGTCTTCACAATGGCATCGTCAACTTTCATATTGACCCGAGACATTCTCCATGGCAAAACTTCGAAAGCGGAAGTACCTCGCACATCTTATCGTCCAAATTTCAACAAAGATCAGAAGATTGCCGCAGCCCGGAAATTAACTGACAGTACGGGACTTTCGAAGTTTTGCAGCAGTGCAGCACGCAGTCAAGCAACCGGTTCGGATCGTGTCTCCGAAAACATCCCCTCGGTGCCTCCGACACGGTGACGAGTCTGTATCACGATGTGTATTCTTAGAAAAAATCCTAAAGATGCCAGGCATAACATCGATATGTCAGTCATTGGTAATACAGTTCGGCTCAAACAGAGTTTCGCTTTTACGAGCTCGTCATTACCTGGTATTGGCTACCACTCGACCTTCCATGTTCATCGTGGTGTGCGGAGTAATAGCGAGGTCAAGATGCATGTCACGTCGGGGTTAAAAGCGTCACATCGGCATCGCGAGGCGACCGTTTGAATGCCCCCTTGCGCTTTTCTTCCCTGCTTGTACGATGCTGCCTTACTTGGGTACTTGAACAAGGTACTCCGCAAAGTTTGAACAGGATCGTCAGTCGAGAGGTTCATAGCTTACCCGGCTCTGCATTTCTAATATTTAGCGACGGGAATCTCTCGATTCTCTGCTTTCAGATTCTCATCCATATGGATATCGAGAGAGACATTGTCTGACATGTCGCAAGAGAAACTTCGTTTTGATGTTAACCATCTGGAACTCGCCCTGACGGCTTCTTCCAAGGATGAGCTTGCACGCCAAGGAGAGGAATTAGAGGAGCTGGAAAAAAGGTATGGGGTTTGGGAATCGTGTAAACAGAATAAACTTGCTCTTTTTTACAGTATGCTCATACATTCCGTCCTATTTACAATCTCTAAATAATTTTGTTGTAGTCCTAGCAGCGTACAGTTGCGCCGCTGCTTGGGTAAGTCTATTGGATCCAAAAAGCAAACTCCTCTTCTGACTTTGGATATAGGGCTATGATACCATTGCGAATACTGCTACTTTAGCTTTGCCGTCCTTTCAGAGATATTTTGGAGTCCATATGGACGAGACGAATTCTTATTATCTGGAATCAATATGGACTTCTCTGTGGGCATCTATGACTGGAATGTAAGCTTTGTTTCCCTTTATTAAATGTACCCCCTTCTTCATACGAGAAGTTTGGGTGCTTCGTTAGTTTGAGAAGAAAACGATGGAATACTGACTTCATCATCTTTCAGCGGACAAGTGGTTGGGTCTGTGATTGCGGGACCTATTTCACAAAGAATTGGAAGAAGATACACGGCAATGGGGTCTGGTACTGTTTCAGTAAGTCAAACCATTCATTCCTCGGGTTTGTATTTCTTTTCTAACTGTCATGGTAGGTTTTGGGCGTTACTCTGCAATACCTCGCTACTCAAAATGGGGTTCTTCTAGCGGGTAAAATTATAAACGGAGCAGCCGTTGGTGGGCTCTTGAGTATTGGAACGACATATGCCTCAGAGGTATGCAAGATCTTCAATCCTCCGAAGAATCATTTCCTTAAAACTCGTTATCAAATGCTTACCATACTGTCAGATTTCCCCACCACGTCTTCGCGGTATCTTACTAGGAGGCTTCCCATACTTCGCAATTGCCATGCAATGCATGGGACTCACAATCATACGTATATTAGTTCCCAACACCAGCCCCATCTCTTTCCGCATAGCATTAGGACTCCAATGGCTTGTTGGTGGAATTCCAATCATCTTTTTCTTCTTCGTCCCTGAGTAAGTTCCAACATCCCAACCAAGAAAACAAACGAGTATATATCATTAACATACCCCAGATCACCAAACTACCTCCTCCTCCGCGGCCGAGCCCCAGAAGCCCGACGCGCTGCATCCCGTCTCTACAATCCTCAAACCGTCCCCGCACGCATGGCCCATCTGGAAAATAGCATCTATACCGAACTTCAAAAAGCGCGAGAGTTAAGCCAAGCAAGCTACCTCGACTGTTTCCGCGGCACGGATCTCAAACGTACCCTAACAGTCTGTCTCTTGATGTTCGGAAATGGCCTCAACGGCTCCGCATTCCTGACTCAGAATCTGTATTTCCTAGATATTGCTGGGCTCCCCACGATTCGGGGGTTCGATATCAATATTGGTGGTTTTGCACTGGCGCTGGTTGTCATACCCCTTTCGTGGATGTTTGGCGATAGGATTGGGAGGAGGACATTGTACCTCATTGGTGTGTCGGGGAATATTATTGGCATGGCTGTAGTTGGTGGACTAGGATACGTAACAGACAACAAAGGGGTAATCTGGGCCGTTGCCGTATTACTGTATATCTCCCTCACTCCCTCCTTTCCCCTTCCTTGCTAACGACACCCAGAAATCTCCTCATCAGCTGGCAACTCATAACCTCCTTCATGGTCTCCTGGACCATGTCACCCGAACTCTCATCCTACACCCTCCGCCAACCCACCCAATCCATCGGGATCTGCATGCAAGCCCTCAACTCCTGGTTCTTCGCCTTCGTCACCCCCTACATGTACAACATCGGCCCCGGATCCGGGAAGCTCGGTGCAAAAACGGGCTTCGTATTTGCGGGTACTAGTATCCTGCTTTGGGTCATGGCGTGGCTGTGGTTACCCGAGACCAGGGGATTGGGGACCGAGGAGTTGGATAGGCTGTATGAGGAACGTGTTAGTCCCAGGGAGTTTGGGAGGGAGGTGAGGAGGTTGAGGGCGCGGGGGAAGATGGCGGGGAGTATGGGGAGTGGGGAGGGGAGTATAGATGCGAGGGAGAGGGAGAGAGAGAGGGTTGATATAGGTGCGGGTCAGTTTCGGAGGTTGAGTAGTGCGGCAGAGCTGCAACCTAAAGGAGTTTGCTAAGTCTATTTCTTTTCCATATCTTCTGCGGCGTTTTCGGTCTATGCATATCGGGTCTGGGAGTTCATGTATTCTGGGATATGGCGGGTGGGACGGATGGAGTATCGGGAGTTTACACAGACTGGTCTTTCAAATAATGGGCGGGATGGCCCGGGTAAGAGATACCCTGGAGACTGGAGTTTACTTTATATCCTCTAAACAGTGAGGCGGGGCGAGGCGGAGGAGAGGCGTACTCTTACTCTTACTCTTACTCTTACTCTTACCTACCCCATTCACGGGGTCAACGAATATCGGTTTTCAATCAGGGAAATACTGTATCAAAGGTGTCTAGTTCTAAAGTTAGATTTACCGTACGGGTTGGAGTATATAATCAAATATTTCAATAACTTCCAAAAAAAAAAAGAAAAAAAGTTCAATCATTAAAAGAAGTATCAACAAGTAAATAAACACTACCCCGTCTAACCTTATCCTCCCCTCTCTCCCTTCCTCAAATAAGAACACCACACCACACCACATCACACCAAATCACACACAACACTCCACCCACTCCACCAACCCTGCCCACATTACCTTACCCTACAATACAGTCATATCATCTCTCAAACGCTACCAGTCTGGTGCAGTGAAGAAAGGACACATCCCCATTCCCACTCCCACTCCCAGCTTCCTTACCTCATACAAGGCACTATATTTATTTATACTTATATAGTACGAGCGATCACGATATTACCTCACCTCAGCTCGCGTAGTATACTTTGTACTATGACCGACGGTATCAGGAAAAGGGGTAGTAGGAAGGGAGTACATGAGAGGTTCAGTACAAGTTTATGGTTGAAGTACTTGACCAAGAAGGAAGAACCCCCCTCGGCTAATTTTTAGTGGCAGCTCTATTGAATTTTCCAGGCAGAGGCTGGTAAAATCCAATAGATGTCAGAGGTCTCTGCATCTTAGCAAAGAGACGTAGCATTCACTTGTAAAAGACATCAATTTATTTAGATTTGTATCCCATTTTGTCATACTATGTTTTCGTATACCGTACAGACACCCCCGTCCATACGCCGCCCAACTAGGACCAGAAAGAAAAAAAAAGTATGAACGCCAGACTCGAAAATTGGCAGCTATATGCAAGCATCTAACTGAAAATCCTTTTTAGAGCATCCTGCTCGACCCTGTTAAATCAAGGCTTTTTAATAGCCAAATAATGCAAACCGTTTTCCATAAATAAATAAGAATGGAAATCTTTCTTTCCAGCCTTTATGCGAAATCTTTCATGCTTTGACCTTCTTGGCTGGGGCAACAATTGCCTCTGCTTCAATCGCTCTCTTCTCGGGTATATCGATCTCCTGCTCCTTAGCGGCCAACAAAGCCTTCTCCTCGGCGGTCATGTTTGGTAGTAAGTCAACCTCCTTTCCAGTCTTCAGTCCGCGGTGGAAGGCACGAATAATCGAGTCGGCGTCGTCCACAGCAATAGGTCGAATATCCGCAAGAGCTTTGATCTTGGCTGTGCACTCCTTATACTGAGCATCGGTCATTTCAATCTGTAATTGTGCTGCTCGAGATTTGATAGCGTTCCAGCCTGAGAGGTATTGTTAGCATTCAGCTGTAAGACAATGGGATTAGAAACTGTTTACCTGTCAAGCGAGAAGCAAAGTGGACGTATCTCGACATTCCGAAATCAGCAGGGTTGATAATTTCATAAGTTGAAGGGTTGTTGAGAATTGCCTTGGCGTGAATACCAGCCTTGTGGGTAAAAGCACAGAAACCGGTGATATAGTTGTTGAATGGAATGTTGACTTCGACAGCTTGGGCAACCAAATCCTCAATGTCCTTAAGCTTGTGGAGCTTGTACTTGCCCATAACATATTCTCTGTCGGCCACAATCATGCGTGCCATGAGACCACCGAGAGGAGTGATACCATTTCGCTCACCAATACCCAAAACTGAAGTATCAATGTGAGTGGCACCGGCCTCCAAAGCACAGTATGCGTTTGCAATGGCACATCCAGTATCGTTGTGGAAATGTGTCTCAATGTCACAGCTGACGACTCCTCGAAGAGTTCTAATCAAATCATAAACTTGGCGTGGAGAAGCGCAACCAACCGTATCTGCAATACCAACACGGTTTACACCAATCTTGTCGACGGTGGAGTAAATGGAGAGGAGATCGACCAAGTTTGATCGGAAGGAATCTTCGCTGGAAAATCTGATTTCGATATTGTGTGACTTGACGTAGTTGATAACTTCGATGGCAGTGTTGGTGATGTAGGTCATGTCCTTTCCGTGGGAGTGCTCCATCAAGTAAGAGGAGGTTCCAATAACGACATCACTAAATGCATCATGTTAGAAGAGTTAGACAATTAAAATGTTTGGAAAGCTTACACTCCGTCGACACCCGTTTGAACTGCAATTCTAGCATCATCCATATGACATCTAATGTGAGTGAGAATCTGGGGAAGAATTAGTTTTCTGCGCGCCCACTTCGACAGCGTTACCAACCTTGGCCTTCAAGCCCAACTTGCAGATTGCCTCGCAATCAGATCTTGATTGCTCGGATGCGGCAGGGGAAGTCAATTCAATCTTTACACATCTGTCAGTATGATTCTTTGTTTGAAAATTTCCAATTATGACTCACGTAGTCCACACCGAAATCGTCGAGGGCCTTAGCAATCTCAATCTTCTTGGGGAGGTCGAAAAAGGCATTGGCGAATTGTTCACCCTCACGAAGAGTACTCTCAATGATCTTGAAGTTATTGACATTGCTTAAGAAGTCTCCAACTGGTTGGTATGGATTCGATCGGTGAGCATGGGGGTTTGACTTGGTCTCGACAGCGGTGAATCCTGGGTGGCCTGGCAGAAAGAATTAGCATTGATCGAGGCGCAACCGTTGGAAGAGGACAACGCACTGTTGCCGTTGGAGGCACCATTGGAACTGCCATTGGAACTGCCATTGGCATGTCCATTGGTGGGAGCGGCCTCGGTAGGTTCGCACGATGGACACATCTTGGTGGTGGATATGCGGTGGTGGGGGAGGAGTGGAATTGAGCGAAGGATGGTTGTGTTTGAAGTGGAATGAAGGCGGTCGGGTGGGGGGAGTGGTATTTATGAATCGTTTGGCAGAAAATTTCAGGATGCTTATGACTCTACTGATTCCAGGGGCTGTAGGTGTCTTGTGGGGAAGAGGAGACTGCTGGGGCAGAGAGTTACAGGTGTAGGTGTGCAGAAAAAATGGCAGGCATTACCCTTAGGTTTCAGAGTGCGGTGCACGCCGTGTGTTACCTAGTCTAGTGAGGGAGCGATGACTGTGGTGGGGTGAGGAGGGGGGCGACGGGGGCAGCCGATGACGGCCGTTGGGTTCATTGGCCCCTTCCTTTGGAACTTGCGAAATGCCGGATGGTCATTGGCTTGCAAACCTGGAAAGCTTAATTTCTATCACGTGAAGGCCGGCATGGGGAGCGGTGGCGGGGTCGGCGGGGGACTCGCTTTTTTTTTCTCCATGGGCCTACGAGTACTGCAGTCGAGTACAGCAGTGCAGTCCAGGAATAGACTTCCTATTACCAACAAACAGCCTCTAACAGCCTCTCCTCGAGTAATTTAGAGGTGAATTACTTAAGTAGCTGTGTCCCAGCCTGCGCGCCAATGAATTGTTCCTCCTTCATGTGTGGTTCAGCAGTAACGACCGCCTAGGAAGTACACCTCGGAATTGGATTGGCTCACACTTTACTTTTGCACATTCTCGGCATGGTTACTTCCGACTGCCGGTTCAGGCCAGCGAAGCGGTGAAGTTTCTACCTCGCTATGTCACAGCATACTATGCTTATTTCCTACTTGTGATTCTTGCTTCTGAAGATTCTCAGGGCTGTAAATTTGACGCGAGGCAAGCGCCTCGTTGATGACCCGTCTCTTCAGAGCCAATTAAAAGTCCTTCTCTGAAGCATCAAGCGGGCTGATATTGGAAATTATCACACGTCCTCACTTAAAGATGAAGTATATTTTCTGAGGCGTCAAGAAAGGCTGATACTGGGATTGTCACACGTCCTCACTCAAAGATAAAGTACTTCCAATTGCTCGGAAACTCGCTCTCCAAAACGTCAAGCAAGGCTGATATTGGATATTGTAACCCATCCTCGCTTGAAGCTGACGTACTTGCCCAGAGTTGAAAATTTACTTGCTCACAAGACTTTCCTTCTTGTAGCTATGTTCAAGTGCAACCATCTCAGTCTTGCTTTTCGTATGTATATGTGAAGAAATAGTGCGAAAGTTCAACTAGGTAGTTCCAGAAGACTATGAAAATAGAGACTCAATCATCCAAAATAAATCAAGTCATTGGTTTAGCGTCTCTTTGCTTGGTGCAAAAACGGTGTCTAACAATGACTCTGCTTCAAGTGAACTGCGCAAGGATATCTTCATTTTGTCTTCATGGTAATATGGCTCTATGGCTCTTGCAGAGAGGGACACCCAAAGAGGTTAGCAAGTGATATCACCTACATGCAGTCTCCAACTCAGGAATCTCTAACCGATTTCTCTTGATAAGCGTTGCGACAACGACAAAGAAGCTCATTTCGGACTTTCTCCAGAAATTAGCACACACTAGTTTATCGATCTCTGGACATGTCTGAAATGTCGTATATAGACGCGTCAAGAGACAAGATCTCTCTGTCTTCCTCTTTTCTTTCAAAACAAGACCCAACTTCATGGACTGTCTTTCGCACCTTCAACACTGCACACATATCTCAACAGGTAAGAGATCTCCCTTCTACTGCGTTGATCCAGATCTGTTTTCGCATCAACAGCTCTCTTTGCAAGACCGATTTCTCGTGATGCCTGACTGATTTTCGCACAGAATCTCTCAAGACGTATCTCTCACAACCATCTTCAACTACCTCCAACCACGATTGCACCACAGAATCTCAGAAAAGGTAGACATCCTCTCTTTCTTCATACACAGAATAAGATAGCACAAGCTAATCCTTCCAGTCAAAAAATCTTCAAAGGCCCCTGCGTCAACGTTGGTCAAACCACTACCACAGCGGGTGTGGAGAATCACCATCTGGCCCTCCAAACTTGCTGGACCCTGATGGTATGTTCCTGTCATCCTGGCCCAATTTTGAGTATTGAATGCTGATTCTTTGATGACACCAGACGTTACAAGAGCCAAAAACATTCCGTTGTGGAGTTTCTGATAGCACAATCGGCCAGCCTTCTCGATCTCAACGGCATAGGAGTAGCAACTACCAGGTTCGCTCGCTAAGCTCCAAGACACTCACATCAAAGACACAAACGACGACATGGTACATCCAGGATCTGGCACAAGATCCTTGGATAGTCTGGCAACGTTTAGCGCACAGCGAGAATCAAGAGGAGATACAAAGGTCCAATCTCTTCTGTGGTCAGAGAATGAGATGGAATCCAATCAGACGACCCACGCTACTTCTCACTCGGCGTCCAACCCGTATCTCCTCGAAATGCACGGTGATCAACCGATCGTTGATTCTCCTATTCCTCAGGGAATCTTGGGAGCCCAATCACCGGATGCTGGAGGAGAGGAGGGAATGATGGGCGGTGGGATAGTGGCACCTCCATCCATGTACGGTACCGGTCCCGAGGGCGCTTCTAAACCCCTCGTTTGTCTGATGCTACGGCTGCTGCTACCGCTGATGGCCCGGGTGTACATGGTGGAGGGGGTACTGATGAGATGGATCATTGACGGTGGATGCCTCAACCCGTGTATAGTACTGCTCCCGAGGGCGCTTCTAAACCCCTCCTTTTTGAATGCTGATGGACGGGAAATACACGGGGGTCCTGATGGTCGCATTGTCGATGGGGCTCTGCAGAGGGTTACCACTCTACGATGAACCAAAAGACCGGGGTCGGTGGGCGTCTGGTAGCGACGAGGTCAGTTCACATGATAACCCTCAACTGTAGACTGACCAACTAACGCGCCATAGGAAAACCAGGGTCCGGGTCCGGGACCCGGTCAAGGAAGCCCGCCATCGAGAAGGAGACTACCCTCGATGCTGCCAACGAGCGGCTCGAGCACTTAGAGATCGATGGCCAAACCGACGTGAAAGTCACCACCCGCACCAGAGGCCAATACCGTCAAGAAGCAGCTCGCCGAGAAGGCAATGCCCCCCAAAAGGCCCCCTCCCAGCTAATATCCAAGCTTTGCTGGCGGGAAAGGGTAACGTTTTCAATGACAAGTCGATTGTGATTACTGGTGTCCTGTCCTGCCTACCATTCCCAGAGAAAATGCAATGATGTTGATCGCCCAGTATGGTGGCAAGGTTCTCAAGACTCTGAGCAAGAGAACTAATAACCCATGAGCTTCATGATTTCGGCCCTCGAGATATATGGTTCACTTGCTAATCAGCCTTCTGAATAGCGTGTACTCACTTCCGTCCCTCCGTCCCCCGTCCCTCCGAGGACGAGAACGAGGACGAGGGGCAGGGGTGGGGGGCCTGTAGGAATTATGTAACTTTACACTTGTGGGAATGGGAATTGATTTGTTGAGGACTTGATATGAGATTTGCTGTGCCATGTGTTGATGATTTGTGATTTGCGTAGCCCATTGTCGGTGTTTCTGTGATTCAGTAGAGCTTGAAAACGTCGCTCAGCTGTAAACATATATACTGTAGAAGGATGCGAAGCATGGCGTAGTGTAGGTCCCTACAGCTCGAGCGGGATCTGGAGGATATGATGGCTGACATGGGTTTGGGGGGCGGTGATGAGATGCAAGATATTCTTGATCGTGACGCCTTTGGTAATGACATATTCAAAGTAATTGAACAAAAAGAACGTTGCTTCGGCGGGTTCTCTATGATAGAGGAAGGAGGAAGATATGTTTACATCAGGCCCAGGAGATATAACACATGTGAATGTGCATGTTCACCCTTGAATCAAGTGCTTCAAGGGATCTTTACCAGATTTTCTTGATATGTGGAAATGAGGGGCAGGTATAATATTACAAGAGACTGCAAGTAGAAAGATGTTGCTTTGAGATTTCTGAAATTCTTGTACATGAATTAGCCTACCTATCAACCTCTAGATAGTAAGTAGTCAAGGGTGATATGTTCGTCTTGAAATCAAGCTAAGCTATGAATACCTAGGAGAAACTTCCTGGTCAACCTTTTCCATTTTGATTGTCTGTTCATTATTTTCATCGATTGATGGAGTTTGCTTTGTTTATACTATCCTGGCAAATTCTCTTATGTGGTCTTTCTGGAGGAGACTCCTCTCCGGCTTTAGTTTGATACTTGTTCCGCTTTCTGTGAGAGGTTCGATGTCTTCCTTGGGCTGGAGAAGACCCATAATGGTAATCCTATGGAATCGCATCCTGCACAAATCGGAAATTGCTTGGTAGAATCATCGGGTACTGAGTCTTAAGGCGTTTTGATCTACTAATCTTCTCCCCAAGGATGGTTGGTGGACATGAATGAAATCCGCAAACTAAGCAACCGGTCAATTCTTTCGTTGTGCCAGGAGTCGATCGTATCTCAACATTGCACCAAGTAACACCTGGGCTCCGTTTCCACAATCCTCCGGACTGCAGTACTCGGCTGGGTTGTGAGAAACACCATCCCTACATGGTACAAAGATCCTAGAATTATCAGTGATGACGATCGTCTGTGTGGATACTACTTACATGGAAGTTGGAGCATGTCTCGCTGTGTACACACTAGAGAGGAAGTTAGCCGGGAGTGGTAGAAAGTGTAGAATGAAAACTCGCCTATCGTGACCAGCACCTGAAGTCATTATCTGGACTTGAATCCCATCCTCAACTCCTACAAGACTCTTCGCACTCTCTTCAACACATCGCACGCAATCCTCGTGAAACTTGGTAGCTGGCGAGTCAGTATCCAGTCGCCACTCAACACTACATCCCCTCCCTTTGACACCTCTCTCATTAACACCACCAACATCCTCTCCTCTTGCAATTCTTTCGAATTACTCCTTCAGAACATTCTCCAATTCCCTTAGCTGGCCATCATCCCTCGACCTAATGTCCAAAGAAAAAGTCACAAATCCAGGCACCGTATTCGTACTTCCAGGCTTCAACCCCAAAATCCCCGTAGAAGCCAGACACCCTTTCTCGGCCGCTCGATTGTGACTATGCAGTATAAGCTTCGCAGCACACAACAAAGCATCCGATCGATTGCCAAAATCCGTCGTTCCAGTGTGGCAATCTCGTCCCTTGACTGTGATGGTGAACCACTTATACGCCTGTACGCCTTCCACGGCGCCAATTTTTCCACCGGAGCTTTCGAGGATGGGGCCTTGTTCAATGTGTAGCTCGAAATGGGCACCTATGGGGTTTATCTTGTGCTTTGCTGGGAGGGAGCCGAGATACTTTATCTTTTCGAGGGCGTATTTTTGAGTTTCGCTATCGGAGACTGAGGGGAGGGAGTAGGCTTTTTGGAGAGAAATTGCTGAGGCCCAGACACCGCTTGCTACCATCAAAATGGGGAAGCGGGCTCCTTCGTTGGTCCAGTTTATTACTCCTGTGAAGGTTTGGTGAGATTACTGGGTCTGTTGATTTTGTTATCAAACCAGTTGGATATTCGGTTTCAATATCGTTTTCTCTCATGGTCCTTAACGCTTCGATTCCAGCATGAACACTAGAATCCCGTTAGCCGAGCCTCAATTCAGTCTTCCATCGACTTTCACTCACCCAAGAATGCCATCATAGCGTCCACCAGTTGGCTGATAGCTGTCAGTACTCTACACTTCGATCGAGTATTTCTCTCTCTCACTAACTTGTGTATCCAAATGACTCCCAGCATAAGTAGGAGGTCTCGAATTATCCCTCCCAGGACGAATGGCAAATATCTTCCCTAAGACCCATAAATCAGTGCCTGAATGAAATGAACTTGGGACTGTGAAAATACCCATTTCATCAATTTCCACCTCACAGCCTAAATCTTTTGTCGTCTCAACGAACCAATCTCGAGCTTGCTTATCGGAGTCGGATAATGCGAGACGAGACATTCCAATATCCGTTGGTCCACTTGTATTTTGTCAGGAAGTAACTCAATAGAAAATAAGTTCGTGTTTTGGAAAAGTCCGGCGAATCGGCGATGGGAAGAAAAGAGTCCCAGCGATAGCTAGTATACGAATAGGCGTACAAGAAAACACATTACAGGCAACGAGTGTTCCCTTCGATGAAATGCTCCACTCAAAAATGAGTAAAAAGTACACAGAAACATTTGAAGCAACTGTAAGAAAAGGTATATTCATAGCAATGAGCGTAACATCAAGCAAACAACAATCAATGCCTAAAAATCACCAAATACAAGTAGAAAAGACACATACTCTCCCCATCTCTCTCCCTTCCCCCATTCACAGGTCGCATGTAAGTCTCTCCATAACCTCGCTCGGTTTACTTGAATAGCTCCCAATTGCTTCTCTGACATCTCCGTAGTCAAGATCGCTCTACATTGCGAGATTGAAAATGTTCTTATCGTGGGAGCATTTTGGAGGTATGGAAGACGTGGCTTTGCCAGAAATCTTAATTGACTGGATCGCATGGTGCTGTGATGTTGTTGAAGGCAGTCTTGTTTGGGATGATGTTGTACGCAGGTACTGTCTGTAGATGGAGCTCCTATCAGTGGCTGAAGATACAGTAGTCAAAAGTGGGGTCCTGGCGTGATCTACTCTACTCCCAGTATTCACTGTTACATCACAACAAGGGAGATATATACTTGAAGCGTTTATTGAACGAATCCATAATGTAGATTCAGTTGTGGCTCTGTGAACTATGCAGGTATTATACATTTTCCCCAGTTTCCCTCATCAGCAATACCAATAACGCCACGCTCAAATCAATAAAAACAAATACTTAAGCTTTCTTGACTCTTCCCTTTCCTTTCGCTTTCGGCGCTGCTTTGGCTTTAGGAGCCGCTTTTGCTTTTGCCTTCCCTTTGCCTTTAGCGGCTGCTGGAGGGGGCGTAGGTTCCTTCTCGATAACTTCTTCAACAACTTCTTCGGGAGCCTCATCTTCTTCCATGACATCCGGAAGGACGGGTTCTGTAGGCTGATCGTCATCCTCTTCACCCTCGTCCTCGTCAGAGTCGCTCATAAACTCATCATCCTCATCAAAACCGAAGAATGTCTTGGCTTTGGGCTTGGGAGCTGGGTCTGATGGAGGTGTTGTATCCTTCGAACTAGTTCCTCCCATCGCATCATCTTCGCTTCCCGAACTACCAGAGGCTGAAGGTCTAGCAGTAGTCTCAACCAAGTTATCCTTGTAGTTTCCGGATTTCATGGCAGCTAAAACCGCTTCTCGCGTTCTCTCGCCTGCTTCCTCTTTATCCTCAACCCATTTGCCATCGACCTTTCCCTTATTTCCTGATTTCAACTCCTCCTCTCTGCGCTCTGCCAGTTCAACAACCTGCTCCCAGCGTTTCCTCCTTTCTTCTTTTTCCCTTTTAGCCATATCTGGTTTGATGGCCAGGTATTCCGCTAAGGCTTTTGCTTCATTTACAGTTCGCAACCGACGGCCATCTAGATTTCGACTTGATGCGTTCTCGTCTCCTGTCTTCTTCCGCTTTGAGGACATGCGACCACCTGCTGCTCGCAGTTGCGATCCGAATCCTCCTTTGCCACCGCATAATCGCGCCGAGAGTCGCAAAGAAAGGAAATCATCTTCAGGGCTAGAGAGGAGTTCGGACACGCAAGTATCTGACTTTGTAGGAAGTTGTTTATTTGAAAGGGTCGTGAGGATAAGGCGATCGTTGTATGAAGGAAGGCGCTCGTGAATGCGTGATTGAAGTTCCGAGACAGTGGTGTCTGCGCGAAGTGGTAATGACAGAGTCGCTGGCAGATTCAGTCCAGGAAAGGACGTCAGCAAGACGTTGACGGTTGATGGAGACATGACTTGTTGATCTCTTTGGTCGTAGTTTGAGTTCGGAAGTGGTGATGTATGAGAGGAGCGCGGAGTAGGAGGTTTCTGGTACCTTACTTGAGTAGAGGCTTGAATTCAACTTAGCCTTGGCGCGCTAAGCCACAACTTGAACGCCACATGTGAACCACAGGCGGCTCGTCAATTTACCCGGTTAGGTCCTGATAAATACATTCACTCCCCCTCGCGTCTCCATAGGAAGCAGTTCCCATCCCAATCCAGCAACGGGTTGAATGGCCAAGCGGACACTGGGGATTGAATAAAAAATGGGGACTTGACTATAGCCGTACCAGAGTTTCGAAAGTGATCAAAAAGGACAGTGTGCCTCAGTTGGTAATTGCATCGTAGGTTCTTCCCCAGGCCTATCTACCCCTCAATACCCCTCTCTGAGCATCAAACCTCAATACCATTTCCTTAATCAAGACAACAATCATGGCGAACGAACCGCTTGTCAGTCATATCTTCACGGCAGATCCGTCTGCGCATGTTTTCGAGGGGAAAATATACGTCTATCCTTCTCACGATCGAAAGACCGACATCAAAGACAACGATAATGGCGACCAATATGATATGAACGATTATCATGTTCTCTCCCTCGAGTCAATTGGCAGACCAGTCACAGATCATGGCGTGGCGTTGAAGGCAGAAGACATTCCTTGGGTATCGAAACAGTTGTGGGCTCCAGATGCTGCATTCAAGAACGGGAAATACTACTTGTTCTTTCCAGCCCGCGACAAGGAAGGCATTTTCCGAATTGGTGTTGCCATCGGTGATTCTCCTCAAGGCCCATTCAAGCCCGAAGCGGAATCAATTGCTGGAAGTTATAGCGTAGATCCCGCCAGTTTTGTCGACGAAGATGGAAAGGCATATCTTTACTTTGGAGGGATATGGGGTGGACAGCTTCAGTGCTGGCAGAGTGGAAAGTTTGATCGGGAGGCATACTCGTCAATGGAGCCACAATTCGGGCCTGCATTATCTCCTCGGGTTGCTCAATTGAGCGACGATATGCTTTCTTTCTCCACCGACATCAAGGAAGTAGAGATTCTGGATGTTGATGGAAAGCTCTTGAGCTCGGATGACCACGAACGACGATTCTTTGAGGCGGCTTGGATGCATAAATACAAAGGGAAATACTACTTCTCATATTCAACTGGAGATACCCATTTCTTGGTGTATGCCATCGGAGACACTCCATACGGACCATTCACATACCAAGGGCGGATTTTGAATCCAGTTGAGGGATGGACTACACATCATTCCATTTGTGAGTTCAAGGATAAGTGGTACTTGTTCTACCATGACACATCGCTTTCTGGAAAGAATCATTTGCGTAGCGTCAAGGCGAAAGAGATATTTTATGATGACGAGGGAAAGATCAAGCTAGCTACTTGAAATTCAACATGACTTTCCAAAGAAATTTAATGTTTGAATGGGCAGAAGATATTGACATTTGCTTACCCATATAGTCAGTTACCTTGAGGTTATCTTCCTTGGGTTCACAGCCCTTACTCTTTGGGGAAAAATCATCAATCAAAATTTGCACAGACCTGGCATGTTTTGTTTGTAAATTACAGAATTGACCAATGTTGTTACAAATCAAGAGGTACACGCAATGACTTCAAATACTGTGGTAACTACACCTAACGTTGAATCTATTTGAAGACTTCATCAGAGACTGCTCATACAGTATTCCTAGAAATTTACTATCCAAATATGGACATTTTTTGTATAATATTGTTCATCGTAATGAGTTAAATGCGTCTACAAGAAATCGATCATTCTCAAACGTGGCAAACGAGATACATTGCCACCAAAAATATCGTGGGACGAAGTACTCCACGTACTGACCAAGTCACTTGATTAGTTGTAACAATATATATTCTACATTCTATGAGGTTGAAGCTAGAATTATGAAAAGCTGAGAATCAGGTTTGGGTTTGTTTACCTTACGGTACCCAATTACTAGTTTCTCAGTATGGCACCAAGCTTTATCAAAATTGATTTATATTGTGACCGCTCTGAATTCTACCAAGAACTCGGCTTCAGATTATCTCAGTGTTTGGTTATGACATGAATTCTCTCAACCCCTCAGCTATCCATCTAATCTACCATTTTCATGTTATCAGTAGATGCATCTATGTCAGTCCGTATCTGCATACTCCCACTTGCATGAACCACGGCGGCTTCGTTGCTGATTGATGCCATGTACCGGGTTCCGAGAATTGGTTGTATCGTATTAGAAGCAACTAGCAACATTGAGAAAAGAAAATCTTGTTTTGAGCACCTGGCTTGACCTTTCACGACCAGATCCGCAGGAGAGTCGACAGATGAGAGTAACAGCCCAGAAACCCGTCTCACGGTAGATGAAGGATATTAATCATGATTTCGGGCTTGGAGATGCTGCTGAAGAGATCGTTCAAAAGCTGCGTAAGCGTCCTGTTCTGGAAATGGGGGCTTTTGACAGGCGGATTGGAATACCGAAGATTGGCATCGGGGACTGGCAGCTGCAGCTTAGCAAATCGGGACATCGACATCCAAGATCTTTGAAGATCCCGAAAACGGAGAACGCGGCCTGGATCTGAGAACCTCTTTAAGCGAATATTTCGGAATCTTTGATGGCGGTTCTCGGACCGAGAATAGTGTGATGAGATCGGTGTCGGGTAGTGGTCTTTTTGTGTCTATGGATATATATAGGCCATGCAGGAGAATTGATCTTTCGAGCTTCATGGTCCACAAAAGTTCCATTCGAGATTCAGAACCATGAGCTTCAGAAATGCCACAAACGTGCAATTTGCAAGACAATTTCTCAAGTCCTTGACGTGGGCGGCTGGAGGCCATTCGCCTTTGGTCCTTCCCGAGTTGAAATTTCCCCACTCGAACTCCCGGCAGATGCACGCCTCACGCAATCTGAGCAGGATCCGATATACGCAATGATCAACACGGGGACCAGGCAAGCTGCACATGAGTGGGACAAGAAATACATGGGACTTTGTGGTTCAGATCTTGCTCTCCCCCGTCAATGTTTGCTGCAGCCTCCCGTTGCGCAAGGTTTCACTAACTAACTGGGCGTTGTGATGCTTGAGCCAGATTTCGAGAAAGTTATGCCACATGGGATGAGAAGTCTCCTAAGTGATACTGGAAGATTTGTCTGTTTGCTGGCCAGATGCTCTGGTAGAGAGAATGTCACTTGACACGTAGCATTGAGGGGTTTTTTGAATCCATGATATACTCTAGACAGAGTTCGATGGATTGATTGTTTTTCACGCAAGAACAAATATCAGCCGTGTATTGAAAGATGTATAGGAAAATATGGCATTCGTGACACGGTGCTTATATTGGGTAGCGTACATGTCACCAATGACAGGAGATATACCTCGCCGTTTCGACTGCCAATATTAGCTTAGCGAGGAAATGAATTCGACGTTGCCGACCCAACCAAAATGTGGAAACCTGTCGAACCTGAGCAGCATATATTTTGATACGACGTCGGTTGATGTAGCCGAGCACCTGCTCAATCGAGGTATTGGAGGTTTCATTGCCAAGTCGGGCTTTTTCAGAAGCCAGCAGGGTTCGTTCTTGGAGTAGCAGAGAGAGACTGTAGAAGTGCTGGGAATAGACTAAAAGCGAAGATTTGAAAAGAAACGCTTAAATTGATTTTCAGTCGATTAGGCTTCAAATCTGATTAGACGATGGCAAAAGAGATCAATAGCTCTTAATCCATATGCTCCCAGAACACTAACCGAGAACCCTGGGGGCTGGATTGAAAATGTTAATGATTTGTGACATGCAACTCAGATGGACGTATGGCAGCCTTTAAGGAAGGTGTCAATTTAGCGTACGTGGTTACTAAAAGTTCCGACTTAGTGCGCAGTAATATTGTTGGATGTGAAAAGAGGAAAAGTATAAGCGAATATGATGTCGTTGATGCACTAGAAAAAAAAAGTGCTTTATAGGATAGGTGGAGGGTTCAAGAGGAATGTTAAGTGAAGAAAAGGAAACAAGAAAACTTGAGATTTGACACGTGACAAGTTTGCTACATCTTGGCAGATGAGCACCCTTTTTCTACCTCCGTACAATCTTCCAGTATCATCATCCAGTATCATCCCCATCATCTACGTCAACTGTATATCGCTATGAAGTCTGCAGCGCCTTCATATCCATGCTGCCCATAGCTTGTCACGTTACACCCAGTACTAGGACCTCTCCAGCTGCAGCTCTCCTCCATTATTGCCATGCGTCCATGTTGGCTTGAGGGAGGGAGTATTGAACCAAGCGAGCCAGCAATCCGTTGCGAAGCGGGGCTCATCACCATCCGGAAGTCAAATCAGACATCAAACGCGATGCACATTCCCTGCAGAGAAAGGAAGAGCGAGTGTAATGGAGAAAAAGCGCAGCTGCGGAGGCGGCCGTCGTCCTCTCAGCCTCCATCCCGCTAATTGCTGGCTGTGGACGACAAGGTATTACCAGACAAGGGCATATGGCCTCGGTCATCACGACTGATATGGACCCTCTACCATTCAACGCTCCAAAGGCCATTCTCCAGAGCACAAAGATGTCCCGCTAAGGAAGCACACCAAGTATCCTAATTCTGTACAACGAAACACTCGTCATACCCATCACATGCATAGGACCTCTGCAACATAGGCGATCAAAGTGTGTCAGAGAGAAATTGAGAATGGATGCAATTTGCATTTTGTTTGAGTTTGTTTTCTCGCTCCCTTCCCTTTCCTGACAGCCGAAGCGAGGATGGCATATTATTTATGGTTATGTGTATGAACCAGTGGATGTATACCAGCTTTTCCCGCTCTTAGTCCTTCGCCTGATCCATGTGGCGACCATTGGAGTAGACAGCTAATTGCATTTTGTGCTACTCAGTGTGAAGTACAGCAATGCAATGCATCTCTTCGGCTTGGTCCACTGTCCCCGAGTGGCTTGACTGACATACCATGCATTGCCATGACTTTATTTTGTATTATTTCTTCCTCTCATCCCCAATTGTCTGTCTATGGCTGGTCGTTTGCCGCATCACACAGCTTCTGGCTTGGTACCAATGGTGTTGGTGTCCCGCTACCCTTTCTTCTTACCCTTGTCAGCCTCCTTGGCTCTCTGCCGCATCCCACCATCTTGGATAAGGGACGATTCCTGCCCGGTAATCACTTCTATTTTGCTTCCAAGAGAGCTTCCTAGCACACCCCCGTTTTCTATTCTTTTAGATTCCACGATTCGTCGTGTACAAATTACCTGTTATTTCTTCCTTTAGTGCTGTGCTTTTGCATGGCTTGAAATCAATCCTATCAGCGTGGCCTTGTTGTATAATCACACTTTTGCGTCTTGTTTGACAATCAGCCTCGGAGATCTTCACACCTGAGTACTGTTTGAAAACAATATATTGAAGCTGGTGCACTGGGGCTAAGACGCCATTGACTGAATTTATTTTGATCTCCATTTGTTGAAGGTTGAGCACGAATATGCCTTCAGAAGATTGACGAATTCTTAATTTGAGGTATTTGGTTCAAAATCCAGTACCCAAGTCTCTCGTTTCTTTCTTCCAATACATATTCTAACGTTCGGTACACAATAACACGTCATGGGCTGGGTACGTTCTCAAAATTGCCTCTGTTGTTTATGCAGCCACTCATCCAAGGGACAGGTCGAGCGGACAAATATGGCAGTTGCCAAGAGTGTCATTGGCAGGCGGTTTCGACTTGAGTTCTCTGGGCATAGGAACGAAAGAAAAAGTACGAGATTTTTGACAGAAGTAAGGGCGGGTTGTGCGACGTTCTTTGCAATGGCCTATATAATCTCAGTCAACGCAGCAATAACGTCAGGTAAAAGTTCACAAACCATTCTTCAGGCTCACACTGACAAAATTTATAGACAGTGGAGGGATTTGTGTATGTGATACAACGCATAAATTTCAACCACCCGATCCATTTTGCACGAACAGCGCCAACCCAGCTTTCCTTCCATATGAAAAATGCGTGCAAGAAATCAACCGCGACCTTGTCACGGGTACAGCTGCTGCCGCTGCACTGTCCAGTTTTGCAATGGGCCTTTTCGCCAATATGCCAATTGCTCTTGCACCGGGCATGGGTCTCAATGCGTATTTTACCTACCAGGTCGTAGGAGTTCATGGGTCAGGGACAGTGTCTTATCGTCTAGCTCTGACGGCAATATTCATAGAAGGCTTAATCTTTGTTTTGCTGTCGCTGTTCGGTCTTAGGCAGTGGCTTGCACGTATTATACCTTCAAGTTTGAAGATTGCAAGTGGTGCTGGAATTGGTCTTTACTTGGCACTGATAGGATTGACTTACGATGCTGGTATTGGTGCCATAACAGGTGGAACAGACGATCCTCTGAAGCTGGGGGGTTGTTTGCCGTCCCTGCGAGGTCCGGATGGGAGTTGTCAATCCGGAAAAATGCGAAATCCAACAATGTGGTTGGGCATATTTGGTGGAGGGATATTTACAGCCTTCTTGATGATGTATCGTGTCAAAGGGGCTATCATATTTGGGATTCTTCTCGTTTCTATTATTTCATGGCCAAGAGAGACACCCCTCACATACTTTCCTCACACCAATATCGGCGATTTTAAATTCAACTTCTTCAAGAAAGTCGTCACATTTCATCCAATCGAACATGTTCTCGGTGCCCAAGATTGGGATATTAGCGGTGCGCACACAACTCAATTCATGGTGGCGCTCATTACATTTCTCTATGTTGATATACTCGATTGCACAGGGACCCTATACTCCATGGCTCGCTTCTGTGGCGCCATTGATGAAGATACGCAAGACTTCGAGGGATCTGCAGTAGCCTACCTCATCGATGCAATGGGGATCACTATCGGATCCCTCTTCGGTTCACCCCCCGTAACAGCCTTCGTCGAGTCAGGCGCTGGGATCTCAGAAGGCGGGGCAACTGGAATCACCGCTTGCGTGACAGGTCTCTGTTTCTTCATCTCCCTCTTCTTCGCTCCTATATTCGCTTCAATACCATCCTGGGCAACAGGTTGTACCCTTATACTAGTTGGAGCAATGATGGCTCGCGCTTGCACAGATATCAACTGGCGGTATATTGGCGACTCCGTCCCGGCGTTTTTGACGATGGCGATCATGCCTTTCACGTACAGTATTGCTTATGGACTCATCACTGGGATCGTCACTTATATCATCCTCAACACTGGGGCATGGGCCATTGCTAAGATCTCCTCAGGACGCATTGTGCCTTATGATTATGAGCAGAAGGACTTCTGGACTTGGAAGGTTAGGGGAGGGTTTGTGCCAGGATGGTTGAGGAGACTTGGGAAGGGAAAGAGAGATTTCTGGCGCGAATGGGATTTTGATGCTGATAATGATGAGGGAGGGGATTTTGGCGCGGAAGAAGAGGAGGTTAGAGAGGGGTACGTCATGAGAAAAAAGAGTGCGAGGAGCCGAAGGAGTGGGAGGAGTGGGTTCACGAGTCATACTAGGGGGCATCGGGAGAGTACGATGAGCGGGAGTGTAGCTACAAGTGATCAGGTGGGCGTTGCGATGGAAGGGGTAGGCATGAATGTTATGAGGGACGGCAGAACGTGGGATGTAAGATACGTACATCATCCCGGGGAACACGTTCACTTACCGAATCGTGGATTTGAGCATGAAGTTGGTGTTACTAATGGGGGAGAGCCTACGGTTGGTGGACATTCGCGACAGCAGAGCCGAAATGATGGGAGCACGGGAACCGGGGTGAGAGGTAGTTGGGTAGGGAGTGTTATTGGCAGTGCAAGGGGTAGTGGAATCATGATGAAGGAGGGGTTTAGAAGTGTGAGTGGAAGCTTTAGACGGTGAAGATATCAGGTCTGCTTCTGTAAGTGGAATGCAAGATATGAGCTCGTGGAGCCATCTGGAAAAGGATTATGGGGTTCGACTCAAACGGTTAACCAAATGGATATCTCCTACAACCTGGGTTGAAGTAAAATGGGTACGGCGGGGTATGATTCGATACGGTACGGAGCATGGAGGAAAAAGGTCGAGATTAATATTCCGCGTTCTGCTGTTTTATATTTATTAAGTATAGAAATGACGAATTCGAATGCATATCTATTGAGAATAAGTAGCAGCTGTATTTGTCCTTATATAAGTCCACTTAATAAATCTTGATCAACAATTATAGACTTGCAGTTCACTATTATCAAAATACCGTCAAAATAATGATGTTTCTGACGAGTGGTTCATTTCCAAGAATATTACCTAGGTATCCAAGAACCATTGAATAACCTATTACCCTGTGGTAAATTTAGTGCGCAAATTTACAGAATTGATCAATCTGGCAATCAGGGAGCAATGTATAACATACGTATCATGCCATTTCGTAGTCGGACTCTAGCCAAGCAGACAGAATGGCGCGAGAGCTATTTGCAGTCTCACCTAATTGCGTCCTAGATGTCTGGAAACACATGAACCTATACTCGTAGGATCAAGGTTAAAAAATACCCTCCTTGCGGCAGGAAACTCTCCGCAGGCGAAAATGGTGACATGCAAAGAACCAGGCACCAAGATGCAATGGGGATAAAGGGTCTGAATGATGCGGTATTATTCACAAGGAACAGAAACGCAGTGTTGTTCAGTAAAATCATACCTAGGCATTTTTTATTGGATTTGTGGCCTCGGAGCACCTTCTATACTGCGACTGACTTTCAAGGGCGGAAAAGTATGTATATGGGGAGAGAAGGGTGATTCCTGCCCCCGCCTCTAGTGTCTTCTCCGTGTATTCTTGGCGTTATGGGGTGCGAACAAGTTTAGCGAGGTCGACAGGGGGGCGGAGTGACCTCAAGTCCCATTCATTTTGGAACCTTAAGTTAAGACCAGTTGAGGGAAGGAATGAGAGGTCTTCGAATCTTGACCCTCGGCCTCTCAATTGCGGCTCTCTTGCAGCGCTCGAGGTGTATCTACAAAAATAAGAGTGAAATCACTGAGCGTCGATATACTTCCGGCCTGATAGCATGCAGGTAGCTACTTTCAAATACCTGGGTAGGTAGGTAGGTACGCTCTTCCTCATTTCTGGCCCAGCTTACCAGATTAATCACTGATGGTGTAAAGGTCTATTGGCATGTTGATTATGACACAAGTCTCACTCAAAGATATTTCTTGTACTGTACAAGCCACTTAGACCCAGAGTTCTATCAAGAGATCTTCTCACTCTTTAACGGCATTGAAGTTCATCGTTCCATTTATCAACTGCTTTTTTTTACAGGACAGACCCAGAACAATCAAATAGTTGCACAAGCCAGATAACGCCATTACTGTGCTCTGAGCTCCAATTCACATTCAGCTAGTGGTGTTCCTCACCGAGACAGGGCAGTTAATTTTGTTCACCTGTCGTGGTATCAACAACACTCAGAAAATTCCAACTCCATGGATTCTGTAAAGAAATCTCATACTCATAAATCTTGCCACCCGAGATTCCGTAGAAGTGCTGATTCCTATCTAAAGCAACATCGTCAAACTCACCAAAAGCTCTACTCAAAACTGGGGTCCTTGGCTCCCCCATTTTTGAAGCTCTCAAACCCAACATACACTGCAACTTTCTCTGATGGTCGAGTGATACTACAAAAGACTGCCAGGATTCATTGGGGCTCTCTATGGGTAATGCTGTTGCAGCAATCTTGGCGGGACTCGCCAAAGAGAAATTTGGGAAGTTATCTGCTGGACCTATTCCTCATTGTCAGTGTCATGTCTTGAGTCTGTCTGGCCGGGCTTACCGATGGTCCAATCCTCTGATACCTCAAATTTAGTATATTCTTGCATTGCGCCGTTTTTTTCTGCGAAAAACTTCAAAGTGTCCCATTCGGTGCGGTTGGTCTTGGGAAAAGGCAGCAATGCTATGCCGGTGCCTCTACTAACTCTATCGTTAAAAAGCGTGTAATTCCATCCTTGTGCCGAAGGGAGTTTTGTAGCCGATTGTAAAGTACCTTCCATGAGTTGATATACGATAACGGTACTATTGGCGCAACGAGAAGAAGTGCAATACTGATACGCTACGGCAAGTTTGGAGTCCACGAGCCCCATGGGTGCATTCACTGATAACGAACCCATTTCCCAGCTATCCTCAGTAGCTTCCGTGTATAGCTCCATGACAGTAAATATGGCCGAATAGTAATAAACTGTAAGTCGAAAGTTATCTGTGCTTGGGTTGACGCTGGCTGCTATAGATGTACCCGTCGCTGGGGGTAATCTGAACCTCCTATCGATGACTTGTGAGACTTTCCACGTCTGCTTCTTTGCATCCCATGATGACATATAGATATCACTGTGAGTGTTCTGATAGAATACAGCGCGGTGTAGGGCTCCATAGCTATCAGCCCAGGACACAGCTGCTAGTGACGAGTTGTGAAATAATGAAGTTGTATTCGTCTGTACAGGAAGAGGAAGTGTCGGTATCTGCATTTTCTTCTCCCCACGCGTTCCACCCACAGCCCCCCCTACAATAGCGCCCAATATCAGAAGGGTTGTGATAGTAGTGAGAATAATGAATATTTTCTTGGGGAGTCCGCAGAACTTTCTCGCCCTTGGCCAGACAAACTTGCGTGTCGGTTCCGCTTTGTCGCATGTAGGTGAGGTGTTCCGGGTACTTGCTTCCAAATCTGGCTGGGTAAATTGGAATGGCACAGGCTCCAATGTGCTGATTTCCTGGGACGACATTGTGATTAATTCTGTAATATCGTCGAGGAAGAGGTGTGTATGCCAAAGTTCACGGATGATGCTTCGTGTCTCGCTTAATCAGGGGTACGTACAGCTATGTCGTAAACCTGCGAAGTTTTTCAAGAAATGAAGGGACAAATTTGAAATTATAAAATTAGCGGGAAAGAAGAACATGCATAGAAACGTTCTTATACACCAAAATTTGACCTGCCTTAACCTTCAAAGTTACACTCGTGTAAACCACATAGCCTCGTTTTGTCGGGCGGCACAGAAGCTTATGGCTTTGATGCCAAGATATTCAACGCCATAGCTATCGTTATACAGATATTAAAAATCGGCCCGAGCTTAGATAAATGTATGTATGTGAGACACGGCTAAGAGGCATCGCAATCAGTGCATAGTCAGATGCAATGAGGCAGATATATGTTAGTGCTTTTGGTGGTTGAAGCTGCATCGTCGCTTCTCTTGTGTCGGCTTCTGGGCTTCCTCAAAATTGACTTATACCCGTCATATACTCAATTATGGAAGAACCAGTCTTAACAAGGTGGCCGTAACTGGGACTACTACCCCGTGGTCGCGACGAGACTTACCCCCCGCCTCGCTTAGCAAACAAAAACAGGTTAACAATACAACCTAAAACTCTCCAAAAAAAAAAAGAAAGATCTTGAAAAGAAAAACCAAAAATACACTTGAGCTTTTGCTCTATCCCTCGGACCCCACTTAACCCCCAGATCCCAAACCTATAGAAAATTAGCAGAATCCATGAGTCCGGAATGTGCAAACGCGTCGTTTACGACTTATCAACTATTGCCCGAAGGCGATGGTGATTGTGCTACTTCACGCTATAAAGACATTTTTCGTTAGGTCACGCTCTGTGTGCCATAGTTCTGCCTATTACCGTGGCTGTTCCGTTGTTTTGACAGGTCGCGTCGAGGGGCTCCTCTTCTCGCGTATTTTGACTGCCTTCCATCTCCATTACCCATGTCGATACTAATTTACAGCTGTGCTCTTTCTTCCGCTAAGGAAAAGAGCGTTCCACTTCACCAGGTGGTTGGATTGGTGGTGCTCACGCCGGATCCCATTGGTAAGAACAAATTGAATTATTTGTGCCTTTAATAAATGTCAATGGCAGGTATGGGTAGGACCAGTTTCGATGATTACTGTATCGCGCTGGTCAATACACAGACCTTTCGTTGCCTTTGATGCCTAGACGGAAAATGAACATATTGCAATAATTTAAAACAGCATCAGGTCTACAGGGCTTTGATTGAGGAGGTGATTCCCACCGAACTCCTTGCCGGAGGTCCGGAGGATTCATGGGGGCATTGTTGGCCTCACCTCTGCCTTCGAATAGGGCGCAGTTTCAAGCGGCATGTTCACGTTGACGCCAAGCGTTGGACTTTTTACTGTTCAAAATCTGTGAAGTGATTCACTCTCCGAAAATCCAAGATAAAACTCATAACTAATGTCAAGAGTGGCATATAAGTACTTGCTTTGATGATTATTACACTATATTGGCCTTCTGTAAATTTTTAACATGAACCTCCCGGATAGGATACGTATCCTTGTAGCAAGTACGGTCCTTCGTGGAGCAGCAAATCTTTGGGCTCATAGCTACCTTTGTACAAATGTTTGACATCGAAAAGCCTAACATTTATGTCAATGATACCCTCAGTTCTCAAGAAATCCCAAGCTTGGATGAAACCAACCCTTCAACAGGAACAAATCGATGAATAGACACTGACGATGCGATAGCCAATGTCAGAAAGTTACCAATGTATGATAATCTTTCTGATTCAAGCTAGACACACAATCATCGTGGGAAAATCTACATTCTAGTGAATGATTTCACGAAGGATTGGGTGCAACTCAACCAAACTCAAAAGAAACACTATTCCAAGGTCCTAATAGCCTATATGGGTCAATATTCTGTTAAGATATCATTATCACCCAAAAATGGCGTGGCTTCTTTTTCAGAAGGTATTCAGCCAAATGTACTGTGAGCACAGGGATACATAACATAGTTCCACTCAATTCAGGATATAATTGACATTATTTCACAGATAAAAAATGGATGCTGAAATTTCCAGATCCAGTCAACGAGCGGAATTGTGCTAGAATTGTATTGGGTTGAAAGGGTATTGGGTGCTGAAGGTCATGGAGAATTGATTGCATTGTAAAAGGTAGCTATCTAAGGTGTTTATATAAAGAGCGTAAGGTTTAGGCAGACATGAAGCATTTGGGCAGCAGAACTATAAGTGGATCAAATAAGGAAGTGGAGCAAAAGAGAAAGTAGACCCAGCACAACAAATTGAGTTGGCTGTGATAGGCCACTGTAAATGTGCCCCCGAAGAGTATCTTGTTTCATTCCAGCAGACGGCGGGTGATGGGCTGGCTTGGGGTCCAAAAACCAACCAAAGGAAAAGCAAAGTATAAAGTATCAACATAGGGCGGTGCAGTATTGGTTCATTGCATATGCAATAAGCTCAGGGTCACTGCATTGATAGGACCAAGCGGCACAGCTCGTTGATACAATGTTAGTCTCCCCTTCTCAGCACTTCCTTAGTGCTCATACCTTTAGATCATTATCAACAGACATCTTGATATCGGGCTACTGCGGTCTCCTTGGTCTACCCATTCATGGCCTATACTATTCTTTCTGTTTTATTGCTACCACCTTTGACTTTTGCACTATGGAATCTACAATGTCTCCTGCGAAATTATCGTGCCGCAAAATCTATGCATATCCCAATCATCCTTATTCTAGCGAGTGGCGATAATCCAGTGTGGATTCTGCTTTCTACGCCAGTCCTCCTTGTACTTCGCTTCTTATTCGGAGAAATCGATATTGTAAGATACGGAAAGCCAGGATGGGAAAGCAAGAATAAATCCAAAATGCACGAGGAACTTGGAGATGTTGTCATACACGTCAGCCCAGGGCACAACTGGCAGTATGTTTGCAATGCGGAAGCTGTGAATGAGATATTTAAACGAAAAGAAGACTTTGATCGACCCCCAGATTTGTTAGGCATGTAAATTTTGCTATAATGAGGAAAATGCAATCTCACTAACTTCCGAGAGCAGCGGTGCTAGGTGTTTTTGGACCCAACATATCTACAGTAAGTCTTCTGGCTTCATTTTGTTTTGCTAACTAATTAGAAATGTTCAGGCTATAGGAGCCGATTGGCAAAGACAACGCAAAATAATATCCGCACCATTTTCCGATAAAAATAACGCTCTTGTATTCAGCGAGTCTTTACGTCAAGCCAGAGAAGTACTCCAGTTCTGGAAATCAGACAAGAAGGCAATCACTTCTACTGATAAAGATACCCGTACACTTTCACTTCACGTCCTATCGGGAGCCGGATTTGGAAAAAGCTACTCTTTCCAAGAGAGTGGAGAAAAGCCCGAAGAGGGACATATGTTCAACTACCGCGACTCAATCAACCTGATTCTAGAAAACTGCCTCTTGATTCTTATTATGGGACCAAGACTATTGGGAAACCTCTCCGGGCTCGTGGGACTGCCATATATTGGATCTCTTGCTAGAGTTGGACAAGCCACCATAGATTTCAAGGACCATATGACCAAAATGCTGGTTGAAGAGAAAGCTGCGATTTCTAATGGTATTGTGCGATCGCCAACTATCACGAATTCTCTCATCCGAGCAAGTCAAGACAATAGCGCTACCAGAGGATTGACTGAGGATGAGATTTACGGCAATATATTTGTCTACAATTTCGCCGGCCATGATACAACAGCAACAACTCTCAATTGGGCATTATATTTGTTAGCTACACATCCTGAAATACAAGATTGGATATCGGAAGAGATCAACGAAGTTCTGGGCGACGAAGATGCAGATAATGTTGATTTTCGAGACGTATATCCAAGATTGAATCGTTGTTTGGCTGTATTTGTAAGATCCTACCCACTTCCTTTGGATAGCATGAGCTGATATCTGGTACATGAAGTACGAAACAGTCCGCCTATGGAATCCGTTGATCGGCATCTGCAAATCTACCTTTCTCGTTCCACAGAGATTGACCGTGAGCGACAAGACTATTATAATCCCACCGGACACCAGGGTAATTCCCAACTCCAACGCCATTCATACACTTCCACGATACTGGGGCAAAGATAGTATGTTCTTGATTCCGTCTCGCTGGATCCAAACGACATCAGACACGAACGATATTCAAGACACTCAATCAAAGTCACGAATTAGCCTAGAATCATTCAAGACATTCCCAAAAGGATCGTACATCGCTTGGTCAGATGGTGGTCGGCCTTGTCCGGGCAAAAAGTTCAGCCAGGTGGAATTCGTTGCAGTAATGATAAGCTTGTGAGTCATCGGAGCGTTATCTTGCCTCATGTCCAGGCTTTTGTTAATTCATATTTTCAAGGTTTCGAAAGCATAGGGTTGAGGTAGTACCGAACAGTGGTGAGACTCATCAAGATGCAAGGGAAAGAGTGAAAAGGGTTGTGAATGACAATGTTATTGTTCTTTTACAACAAATGAGGGAACCAAAGAGCGTTGGGCTGCGTTGGGCTGAGGCTTAGAGCAATCTCGCTTAACCGAGGGGTGTGGCTCTTTTTTTTGGTGTAAACTTTTCATTACCTAACCTCTGTCAGTCCGTGAAAGCAATCGTGTTCTCATAATACAGAATGGTTGTCTAGCCCATAGTGAAATAGACATTCTGCAATGAATGGTAAAGTCTGAAGTCGAATAACAGTATATAAAAACATAGTATAACTAGTAGTAGAAACATGTTGATTTAGATAGAATCATATATAAACATGTCCCTATAAACTACTAGACTACTAATAATATGTTTATTATGGCCCTTTTAATGAACATATTTCTTTCTTCGGGAGAGTAAAGGTAAAGGTAAAACGTGAACGCGAAGCAAATGCGATAACTGGATCAAATTACTGCAAGGCTCAAATGCTTGAGAAACCCGTCTGGTTGGTTCAACCGCTTCGTTTTACGGGAAAAATGTTATAAAAATGTAGACTTACTCCACTTTAAGTGCACGTTTTTCCTATAAGTCTGTACTCTTGAAGAGATATAGATTCGAGGTTCTTTATTAACTACTTGTAAAAAGTATATAAACCAGCTATATCTAACCCAATCTAATTAAGAATTGATCTACCCTTCTGTACAAACAAAACAGAACGAGTGCTCTTGAGAGACTAGTTGTAAGGATTCCAGATACAGATGCGAGAGAGAGTATACTTAGATACTATTAGTACATAACTAGGCAATTGGATCCATTCTTTCCCTCTAGGAACACGGGGGCTAGAAAGGCCGGATTAGTATTAGAAATTCCGGATTCCAACTAAGGGGGTTAGAAAAGTCGGAGGGGGTTCAAGAAATTCTGCCTTGTAACCTAGGAGAATGTACTTCTGACATTCTCTAAGTAGTTTCATCAGCCCACTATTTACCAGACTAACTTCTAGGACGAGGATTCAAGCTATGCGAGCCTTTCGCGAGCTATCTACCAGGTAACTTTTAAACTTTCTCCTAGGTATAATAAAAGTCACGTTTACGAGGAGTGCTTAGTAGAGTTCAAGGTAAAAACCCTTTATACACTTAATGTTATTATAGCTAGAACGAAGTCTTATTCTCTAAACTTCATATATATATATATATTTATTAAACGTTACTAAATCTTTTGGATTTAGGAACTTATATTTTGATAGTATTATGGTTAAGCGTATAAATTACTATCGAGAACGTTATATAGTTTATGTGCTATAACTTCATCTTACTTAATATAAAGTTTCTTTCTTTTATCTATAATACATCTCTTGCGCCGATATATATAAGACTTTTCAGTAAATGAAACTCTAAAGAAATAACTAATATCAGCTACTTACCCAAACATCATCTACGAACTACTCCTGTCCTAAAGATAGTAGGACAAATAGATTCATACACGTAGTCCGAATATGCTCAGGATATATATTCCAAGTCTCATAGTGTCCGTCTTCGTAGAATTGACCCAATTTCACACCGATTTGAAAAGAGTCATTAAGACCGCCGGCACTTTTCAAAGATGCTTTGGCGCGTAAAGTGATCAATTAAATGCTCACAGCTGCCCTTGCTTTCATAGAATGATCGAGCGAGTGAGACTGTCGGATCCGAAGCGGGTTCTCAATCTTGATTTCGTTTATTCTAGAATATGCTCATGCGGAATTTGGAAAGGGGGGGGTGGGTGCTTAGAAGGAGAAACATACGATAGTCTATTACGAATAGGCAGACCACTTTCTTGTAGCTGATATCTTCGGGAGAGAATAGTGAAATTGGAAGTAAGAATGAGGGAAGAGATAGGAATAATTCACTGTGAGGGATTGGTAGATGTGATGGCTAGCTAAATATATGCAGATCTCAATCAATACCCGAGCTCTCTGATAATATCAGTATGAATAGAAGCGGAGGTAGTACTCTTCTTAATACCACGACATGCCTCAACGTCACGTGTAAAACAAGTGCTTGAGAAGGACTCATAGTCAAACCATTTCCCTGGAAAGAACAAAGCAGACTATAGACACGCCAATTCAAAGAACATCATGCATTCTAGACTCCGCATCTGTAGAAAACAAATCCTATGTACAAACCCAGTAGTTGATCCAAGTCTCGCCGTTTCACCAAATCGTAATACCGTGAAGAACGCCGGATGAAAAGCTCAAAACTCCTGAAGCAAAGACAAATATTGTACAGACAATACCCAAGCCACTCAAGATCAGAGACGAGAAGCTGGCTTTCTATCAACCTTTACTTCAATGAGGCCATTTGGTCCAGATTGTGGAGCGTAGACCTCGGCATCTTTTCCGGTGTTCTTGATACCCTTGTGCCAGCTGAGGTCAACTTCGAAGCTAGAAATCGTTAGAAATTGGTGTGCGGAAACAAGGAGGGGAAAACTTACTAGTGCTTGTTTGGAAGCTTGTAATCAACCGTCTCAACTTCGGGAACAAACTCCAAGACCTTCTCGCACATTTTGTACATGGTATTCTGGACTGAGGGGCTATCCTCTTCGGCAAAGGTTTTCATGGTGATGCTTCTGGCTCCCTCCCAAGCTTGGTTGAACTTTGACGTGGATTCCTTTACGGCGTCCATACTAGGGAATGTCTTCCAGACCCAACCACAATCGACATCGGTGCTCAAAATTCGGTCCCAGACTTCGGGAAGTGTGGTGAACTCATCTCGAACGAAGCCATGGAATTGGGAGCCGGTGCTTTTCAATACCAGCAAACCATTGATGCCACTGCGAATATCAATCTTGCCCTTCTTTATGACTGCTTCAACATTGCGGGTTTCTGAGCCGTCGCGAAAGAAAGAGTGCGGGTGTGGCTTTCCGTCAATTGTCATTCGAGTCCATCTGTGTGTAATAATGCGAACGTTGGCAGTGTGAATGTGCTTGTAGGTTTCGATGAAGTGGGTTCCGAGGTAGCTGGCGAAGAGTTCCGGGGGAGTTACTGGGTGCTCTTTGGCTTTGATATAAATTGTGTTCTTGATCGAATCGGTGGCTACGACTACGCTGTTATCTGCCTTTGTGTACCTTGAGATAAATATTAGTGGGGTCAGAATGGAGGGGTAATTGTTGGCTCACGATGGTTCAATGGCTCCTTCCAGCAAGACGCAGACCGTCATTTCGGTGACCGTCTGGATGCCTGTTTCAGAATCCCTCTCAACTTTGTAAACGCGGACATTTTCTTTGCCATATCTTGCAGAAGCAATTGAGACCATTTTTATAGCTGTAGATTGAGTAATTCGAAATGGAGGATAAAACGGGAGGTATATGTTTTATATAGTTCGGTGCAATCGGAAATCCGAATTCTGATTGATATCTATCCAGGCAATGATTGTCCGGTCTGGTAGGTGAATCAGAGTCAGTCAAAGTGATTGGTAATTGCGCAGTGAAGCTCCATGAGGACAGTCACTTGTCTTTATAACTTGCCGGTACTGGTACCTCTCTTATCTCCACGACCCTGAGGGATATCGGGTGGGAGCGTAGGTGGCTTATTGGGGGATCTTCCACAGGGGTGAAGCTACAAGTTGATGCAGAGCACGAAAGCCTCGGAGCTTCCCCTCGCCAATGACAGAAGCAAAGCGATATGCAGGTAGAACATAATCCTGGATCACGCGTTGTGTTAGGCTAGTTAGCGGAGCTGCTGATCTGGCTCGACACCGGAGCCGTCCGAAAAGGACAACTAAGCCTTGCGGGGCGATGAGGCTATCCAATCATGCAATGGGTGCAAGTGCGCTTTTCAGGTACACTAGGCTTCTATTTTCATAGCCTCCTTGACAATAGTGGAAGAAATCAGAGTCATCAAAGCCTGGAGAAGAAAGTCCTCCTTTTTTCACTTTTATGATCTCTTCGGCTTGTTGCCGATTCACAGTTCATTGAGGCTCCCGTCCGGGCCTTGCCGCTCCCCTTGATGGTTCGATATTTGCATTGGACACAATCCCTGCTGCTATTGAGGCTAGAGGCGGCAATAGAGAAAACATGAAGTGGAATTCTTGGCAATTTCATAATTGAAGGAGGCTTTCAATCATCTATCAATTAGACGAAGCCGGGGATTTCAACGGGCCTTATTTTTTATACCGTTTGAAGCTTACTTATCTTGGGCGTGGTAATCTTACGTTATTTGAGAAGGTAGCGGGTCATACATATTATGAAGCGGTTTTTAGAGCATATTATTTTGATCCGTCGATACTTAATGGAGCCGTTGGCTACTGGGTAAGAAAACCTTAGATTCTTGGAAGGGGAATGGTGTAGAAGTGGAGCATAATCACAGGAAATAGTTGATAGGCGTGGGCCCTAATATATACTGACTACCTACGTAGCGGAACATCTTAAGACAATAAGAGTTATTGCGCTAAGACATCATGTAACTCACTTGGAGGTATTCTAGGAAGAAGGCATAACGAGAGGTGAAATACTACGGAGCTACCAGGTAATTTTTCTGCGCACCAGAGGATACCTAGGTAGGCCATAAGAGTCGCACACGTGTGAATAAGAGCATTGTGAGTTGGCTTGTCTCGCTTGTCTCTTCAGATGACAAGATCTGACTCCCCCTTGGCTATGGGGAAGATTTATACATGTACGAAGTATCTACCTTATCAAAACAATTGCACAACAGGCGGTTGCCGGATGTATACCCCTCCAATGCCAATGCTCTAACCAAATTTGATATATTTGGTTGGTCACACAAAATACATCCTTGCCATTCGATATCGTTATCTACCGATTTACCGAGTGATAAGTAGCGAGGTGCCTAGCTTCAAAAGAATATTACCAAATATGATATATGCAAAAGTGATGTCTCAATTTCACGTATTCGGTTCAATAAGTCAAAAGAAAAACTCGACTTTCAATTGTAGAAGAAATTGTAGCAGACAAATTCATGTAGTATCGGGGTACAGTATGATGTGTTTCAGATACGAGCGTTCGTGTCATGATGCACATCCTGGAAAGGCGACGGACCACCTCGAGAATACGATTGATATTGCATGCTTCTGTACCAGTACCAGTACCAGTACCAGAAAATTTGTCGCTGCAGCTCTAAGAAAGAATTCAACACCATCGCATTGTATACGAATCCCAATTTCTCAATCGCACCCTGAACGGCATTCAAACTCCTGCATCTGTGCATCACTGCCCAAGGCTTTAGTCTTCAACACTTCCCCACCCCGACTGAACTGCGCCGTCCACAGTCCCTCTGCCCCCAAGCAGACACCACCACACGCGAATGCGCCTCAGGACCTAGCACACATATGCACTGGATGACTACGACGTCCATCCAGCAGCCTACAATACGTATGCCACCGCTGCAAGAAACACGTTGATCCTCCCCCGTCTATGGGCAGATGGTTGGACCACAGAGCATTATGAACCCGTCCACGACGCCGACTCAAAAACCACAATACGCAGCAAATCCAAGGACGAGCTCCGACTCCAATCGAGATGGTCTGCAACCCACAGCAGCCATCAATGGTTCCCGGGCTATGGCAAGTCCTGGCATGTCCTTTGCACCACGAGGCTCCTCCCTCAACCCCTCCCCAGCGCCGGGGAGCTTCAGTTCAAATATGCGAAGCCAGTTAGCACCAACGCGAACAGGATCGAGCCAGGATACGAATTATCTAAACGCAAACCTGGAAAGGCTGGACGAGCATGATGGACAGATTCCTGCGCAGGCTATTTCCGCTCTGCGGGAGTCGCTAAGTCGAGAGATGAAAATAAAGGAAGGGAGCGAGAATATGCTGGAAGCCCTCAATACGAAGAAAGCGAAGCAAACGAAGGAACAGCGGTCGAGGGTGGAGGCAGAACTGAATTCTTCGAATCAGAAAATCAAGGATTTAAAAAACAAAATATCAGAACTGCAGGGACGGAAAATCCCCACGACACCCACAAAATCACGAATGGATGGCATTTTATACAGCAATGGATTACGGTCACCTCAGAGTGTTGCGAGAAGCATATTATCCGATTATGACGAGCCAACAGAGTCGCCTACGTATGCGTTAGCAGAAATACTTCAGGCGCTTGAGACTGAGGGGTTGACTCCAGATTATTATGTTGGTCATGCCAATAATCTGGTGGAGCTATTCAAGAGATATCCAGCGTTGAAATATGATCTAGTCTGGTCGGTTTTTGGATTGAGGATGCAGGTCATGCTTTTGAGCGAGAGTAGAGAAGTGGTCGCTGCTGGATATCGAATGATTAGATATGCAATATCCGATATCAGCTCGTTACAAAAGATCCGAAGTCTCAATACAGACTGTCTCGTTGTCCTGTGAGTACTCATTCGTCATCAGTTTGTATGATTTGCTAAATTTTCATCAGTTCGCTCATCAAAAAGTCAAACGCAGATGTTGAACGAGAGCAAGCGCTTAAGTTTGTACGTGCGTTTCTAGATGTGAAAGATGGCGTGCATGAGATTTCAAGAGCAGTTGTCAGAACGATAGCTGCGGTCGCTGAGCACCTCGAAGACCGTCTGCGGTCCATCTGTATAGAGACTCTTGGTGAAATTATGGTCCGAAGTCCATCTCTTTTACTTGCTTCTGGCGGTCTAAGACCTTTGGCGGATGCTCTGGGCGAGGGTACCTATGAGGCTTCTGAAAGTCTTACGGCTGCATTCCTCTTCTTATTAGATGCGCCCCAGAGAAGAAAGTATCTTCGCTCAGGCTATGAGCTTGAAGTTCTCTTCATCCCCTTCACTGATTCATTGTTTGCACAAGAGTCTATCCTGAAGCAGAACTCTCGATCGATAGCTTATGCCATGAGGTCGTGGCCTGGTCTCATGGCGTTGTCAATGTATAATTTCCGAGCTGTTCGATCCTTGATTTCTAGTTTGATGCTACCGAACTCCACGATTCGAGAAACGGTGATTGAATTGTTATACTCGCTGCTCCGTATCAAATCACCATTTTGGGCCACATCGTTTCTGGCTGGGCGACGACTTACGACCTATGGACGAGTTGCCTCGCTAAAACCAACAACCCCCAACAAAGCCGCTCCCGAGGAAGAGACAGGCGACAAAAACTTCGTAGATCATTACACGGCACTGCTACTTGCTGTTCTGATATCCTCGGATATGCTTTCGGGACTTTTACAAGTCACTCGCGATGCCGACAACATGATGCTCAAAAGGAAGACCACATTACTCATTGGAGAGGTTTTGAAGTTGGCTAACAAACTGTTGCCTTCTTCATGGAGTAGTCATCTACAACTTCTCCCAGAACTCTTCGCGGCAGCTTCTCACTTTGGAAACCAAGAGCGATTCGACGCAACGGGCACTGTTTATCAAATCAGTAGCGTAAGCCGGACATTATACAAAACAAACCCAACCTCCACAAACACTCTAGTCAGCACTGAAAATATGAGCTCCGACAACTTGCAAGGCCTAGAGGATACCCCAAGAAGCAGTCCCAATCTCACTTTAGATGAAACTACCTTCAGACAACTACTGGTGGAAACCCAGGTGTTGTCAAGTACCAATCCCATCAAATGGAACTGGGAAATCATCTTGAGAATTATCGAAGGGCCATTGTTGAATGGCAAACGCTTAGACGAGGCTATAAAAGCCTCGAAATTCATCAAGCGGATAATGAGCTTCTATCGGCCGTTCAAGTATAAATTTGCAGAGGTCAGAAATACACGAATTAACCAAAAATATATCAAAGTTGGCTGTGCTCTCGTGCACACTCTTCTCCAAACTGACATAGGAGTCAAATATCTTGCGGACAATAAATTGCTCAGGCAAATGGCGGAGTGCCTGGCTCAATGTGATCCGGTAAGTTCCAACATTGGGATGAGATCTGACTTCTGCTAATTCACTCGATAGACAAGTGGGCTGACCGCTCAATCTCCAATGTTCTCTAAAGAACGCCTTCAAGAGACTCTCTGCAGCGGGTATTTCAATATGCTCGGCACGCTCAGTGGTGATGTTAGGGGCTTGCAGATGCTGGATCGTTGGCGAATGATAAATATGATGTACCACATCGTCGACCTCAAACAACGTCCTGATCTTATCAAAATGCTACTGTCAAATTTTGACTATAGCCTACAAGGCCACCCAAGGGTTCTTCTTTCTAAGGCTTTAACGGCTGGATCAAAAGAGATCCGTATACATGCCACGAATGTCTTGAGGAGGTACTCGAAGGGATCTAGGGCTACCCAGGGTGTCAGTGACTCGAAATGGGCAATTCAGCTTCTTGTTACGCAACTGTACGACCCGGAGGTGGAAGTGTGCGCTTGCGCTATCAAGATCCTTGAAGAAGCCTGTGACCGCAGGAACTACCTCGAGTACATTGTCGAATGTAGACCAGCTCTTGATCATCTAGGCGAAATTGGGGCACCATTACTGTTGCGGTTTCTGTCCACTTCTATTGGTTACCATTACCTCGATGGATTGGATTACATCAGTAACGAGATGGATGATTGGTTTCTGGGACGAAACGACGCCTACGTCGGGGTTGTAGAAGCAAGTCTAGCTCGTGCATTTGCGGACATGCCTGAGGAACAGTCTCGCCGAATGAGCATAGATGAGGAAAACTACGAAATGGACGCCGAAAACGATGGCCACGTACCACCCCACTTCTACCGAGAGTTGACCCGGACGACGGAGGGATGCAAATTATTACGCGATAAGGGCCACTTTATGGAATTTTCGACGTCGATTCGTGACTATGGCATGCTCTCAGATGATCCTGAGCTTATACTCAAAGTCAAAGGGTGTCTTTGGGCCGTCGGTAATGTTGGATCGATGGAACTCGGGGCACCTTTCTTGGAAGAATGCGATGTTGTCGAAAATATCGTCAAAATTGCCGAACAACACGAAATCATGAGCATGCGAGGCACTGCCTTCTTCGTACTCGGCCTCATCTCCAAGAGTGTCCATGGTCTCGAAATATTATCCGAGAATGGATGGGACAGTAACACCACCATCATGGGTGCCTCGCTAGGTCTCTGCCTTCCACGAAACCTCAGAAAATTGTTCTCCTACGAACCGTGGAAACACGAGAACGTTGGCGACATCTTCATGACGCCGGAAAACCTCGCCGCCTTCAACGCCGCTAAGACGGACGAGGACCCAGTCAACAACCGGGTCTTGGAACTGATTGGGGATCTCGGTAATACTGTTTTGCAGAAAAGATGCATGACGGAATTGATGCATATCAAGGCGAAGAAAGGTCCAAGTTTTAGTCAGCCGGCATTGTTTAAGAAAGTTATGGCGCTTTTAGAATCGCATCATTTTAGGCTTACTGTTCGGCGGTTCGTGATCGAGCTTTTTGATCGCGGATTGTTGAGGAAGATCGTTTTTGAAGATGACAGCGAAGAAGAGGAAGATAGTGGGGATAGTGGCAGTGATGAAGGGAGGACGGAAAGGCAGAGGAGTCTCGGGGATGCTGATGGAGCGGATGAATGAGTCTTTACTTTATCTTATCATTGAGGTTATAGATTTTTGGAGGGTTCCGACAATTGGCATTTGTGGTGATACCAAGGAAATGGAGGTGTTAGGATATGTATTGTACGGATTTTTCTCTTGGGGAAAGGGGCTAGGCTACGGCTTGGTCGGAATGCCTTTTCGCCTGGCGTATTTATCTCTCTTTTTTTTCTTGGCATAGGGCATGGATTGTGTGGTTTGAAAGGGATGGGGTCTAGGGAGGTTGGTCTGTTTCAATTAAGGCGTAACGAAAATGGGAATATTCTCTTGTTTTGTTCATGTGTTGTCTTATCCCGAACGTGCTGTGTGGAATTATATGTTAGTGGGCGGAGGGGGGCGTGAGAGGAAGAGAGTTGGGGCCTTCAATGTGTAAACTGGCGTAACATAAGAAGGATACTTATTGGGTGACTGAATGGACGATGTGTTTGGCTCTCTTTTCTATTCCAGCGTGAGGAAGGTCTGGCTTTAGGATATTTGTAATTATCGGCCGACTTACAAAGTGGAATTCCTCACGCTTATTTGCACTCTTTACAATACAAGACAATATTAGAACGCTCGAATAATCTTATTGATCCATTTTCTTCTAAGGTCTTTGGGTAACGGTTTGCTTGCGGCTAGATTATGTTGTCAAGGATATACTGGCAGGTGTTTCTACCATATGTACTATGGTGGCACCGGTCTTATTTATGTCTTATTCTCTTATACAACCTTCATAGAAGACTCTATTATTTCTCGTTCGCTCTCTCAGAGCATGTCTCTCCTTAGTTCAATCAATACTATTATTATACAGTCATTCTGGCATTCCCAGCATTCCCAAATATACCTAACAACAATTTACTTCTACGAAGTCAAATAACCCTACCCACCCATTCACTCCCTCCCACAACCAGGATTAATCCCAACCAATCAAGACTTCAGACGTCAATATAGCCCACAATAAGCACTTTCAATTCATAAAATTCGGAACCATGAACAGCTTGGTTGGCTTAGTGGTTAAAGCGCTCCTGCCTTACGCAAACATTGGCATTGTGCTAAACAGCTGTAGTACATGCCACCTCCCTGAATTTTCAGAACTAGTAGCACCCAACCCTCGAGCCAGGTTGTGAATGGATGCACCTCCTGCTTCGTTTGTTGCGAGCTGTTTGGGATGGGATTTTGGGTTGTCCCCTCGCTCCACCTTTCAGACTGCTCCTCCTGCAGGGGCTTGGGGAATGTAAGTGAGCGCCTTGGAGAGATCATCAGTTCGATTCTGATACCGAGCAAGAACCTTTTTTGATTTTTTGAATGCTCTCTTTTTTTTTTTCTCTCTCGGTGGTGTTGTTGATGCTGCGTTGCGTTATAAACACCTGCTTTTTGGGGATTTTTGGATCAAGCGAGGAGTTCAGATCAGACAGAGTGTGGTGCGAATCCGAATATTACGTAAGATAATTTACTGGTTGTAAAATACTCTCTGAATCCTTGACAAATCATATAAGTGAATTCAAGTAGTCGGAGAATGTCGATGAAGTGCAAGACTTGAGAGTGAACCATCAATTAACAGTTCAGTAGAATTCATATATCGATGAATTTCATCAAGAACCAGGCGGAACTAATTTTTTCACTTCTCCATTCCCCACAATCTTACAGCCTACAGAGAAGCCTACAATTCTCAAGTGCTTGTCGGTTCTTCATATATTGAAAGATTACTATTACTCTATCAGGAGCACACGGAGCGGAGAACTTTTTATCAACAAGCACCCCGCGGTTTCCCTGGCCAGGTACTATCATTCCAATAGCTCATTTCAGGCCGTATTACAGAGTTCCTCCATACCCTTGGCCAGCTCACCATCTTCGTTCAACTTATTCGATCCGACAAGGGGCTCCTCGTCTTCAGACAGGACTGGCTCCGATGTTCATCTTTCTCCTTGCAAAACCCACATCGATGTTGCCAATTCTTCCGACAAGAGCCGTTCGTCACCTCATATCTCCCAACTCAGCCCGCGTATTATGACTATTTAATTCATACCTGATACTATCTCCACTGGCTTCATACGGCGGGGTTGCCACTTCATGTCTACCCTCAACCCCCTCCTGCCCCTGGTTAGCGTACAGTCCGGGTCTGTTCTCAGGCATTTTCCATTCAAGTTCTTCATTTGGTATTTCAGCCGACGAATTATGCACGCCCTTCTTCTTTTTCCAAAATATCAAACTCGCGATAATGCCAGCGATGGCAAGAACGCCAACCACGACAGGAGCAACAATGGCCGCTAGTGGGACCGACAGTTTATTTTGGGAGGGTGTGGTAGAAGCCATCTCTATAGAAGCACTAGAGGTGAAGGAGGGTGCTGCAGTGATTATAAGGGTTGATAATGATGCTGTAGTGATTGTAGAAGCACTTTTCTCTTGGTCTGCACAGATATTAGAAACGGCAAAGACGCTGAGTAAGAAGAGGGGCATACATAAATATAGCTCTGTGCTTCGCTCGCAGTAGCTGTTGAAGACATTGATAGCTTCAACTTCCGGGGCTGGTGTTGTGCGGCTTGCTTCTGCTGCGGTGCTCCCTGAATCTCTTCCATTTGTTGTTGTTGTTGTTGCTTTCACTGTTCCACTTATCGCACAGTATTCTTGTACTGCAGTGGAAATTACGCTGGACATGTATCTTATAGTTTGGCTAGCTTGATACAAGATTTACAGCAAGGTTAAATGAGGTTACTAACGTTGAACTGTCAAAGCAAAAACAGGTAAAGCTTGTGAGCTGATTGCCATCGCCACAGCCCGAGGACATGTCACGAACTACCACAGAAAGACGGTTCTCTGCACATGGCGCCAGGGAGGAGTAGATTGGTAATTGGTTGATGTAAATCGATGTCTTTGATGCAACTTGCGCTACAGCGACAAAGGCAAAGATGATAGAGAAAGTTGGGAGACCCATTTTGTGAATAATTTTCCATTAACAAGAATCCAAGAGAGAGCAACCCCCGTGTAGCTATATGCAAAATGATCTCCCACTACATTGCGGCTCACTACTTGCCGTGGCGGATTCAGCCTGCATAAATGGGGGCCAAAAGCTGCTTACCCCCTTTTTGGTTTTTTTTTCTTTCAGGAATCCTTTTGTTACCCTCACTCTGGTTGATTCGCTAAGACTTTCTGAAATTGAGACGTCATGTTTCTTAATACAGTATCCCATCAAAGATCTATCGCTCATCTTTTTAATAGGACATTCTTTACACACGAAGCCTGCAGGTAGATGAAAAATATATTGTTATGCTTAAATCCTTCAAATCCTGTTCAGGCTCTTCGGTAAAGGCGGGGTGTTGCAAGGGTTCTCTTGGCGATAGATCAGCGCATACTCATACTTCTAACTGGGCCATCTACCTGAAAGCCAGACCGAAGTAAATCGAACTTATCAAGTACGCTAGTTTTTGGCTGGAGTTGTAGGTGGATAGTACTCGTTGTACCCTTAGGCTCTAAGTGGTTGGAAGTCTGCGGCGAAGGTATTCTTTTCCCGCTTGAAGATCGTAGTCCCGTTTTAGCAAAGGACCATAGACAGCTGGTCTCTAAGTAGCCCCAAAATCAATATTGCCAGCTTCTGGCCTATATACCTACCACGTCACCCAAAAACTAGCGTACTTGATAAGTTCGATTGACTACGGTAGAAGGTCAAGCCTTAGATACTACTTCTACCTAGGACATATAAGATTGTTTGCTTACCCGGTTCCTGCATGAGTATCACATCCTCTTTGGGTGTGCGCTTCAAACCCGGATTACCAAATTGGTGTTCAAAGACCAAATATCAAGGTTCCTCAAGGCTGGCAGTATGCTTACCCTTGACATGCAGAGGCCTCGGGAGAAACGTCAAATACAACCCTCTAATCTAGTTGTGTCTCCCCCAATTTCATTCGTCTGTTTATACTTAAACAAATCCTACGAACATCTGAGCGGCTGCCACGTCGTTTATGATCTGTAGATCCCCGATATGTTAAACCGTTTTTGACGGAAGCCACCCGAACATCATAGTTCGCTGGAAAAGAGAGAAAATAACAGGAAAGGCAACGAGGCTGTAGTCTAATCCGTATTACTGAAACACGAAAGCAGGTAGTTGTCACCCATGCATATGTTAGGCTCTGCTTTCCCGAAATACTGTGCCTCAATGCTGTGCCTCAATACTGACCCGTTTTTTGATGAAACTGGCCGTATCTGGACGCCCAGACTTTCGTCTCTGTACAGACACTTTTTGAACCCCTGCGATGTAGCCCCGCAATATCGCCTTTGGTAGGTGTAAGCAATATAGCGATCTCGGTACTAGAGTCACGTGGGAGATGTTTCTGGTGCTGATCTAGTTCTCCCAAAGAGCCTCTCCTCAGGTTCATTCTAGTACTTTCCTAATGAAACTCTTAGACCACCAGTAAGTGGATGTGAGTTAAGATGTACTACGGTGTGTCCTAAGGTACGTGCTTTATTCGCTGTGAATCTGTTGTTATGGTGGGGATCAAGGAATAGATTGTTCGCAAGGAGGGAAGAGAGACGCTCTTCGCACTCCTTAGGTATTTGTCTATCTACGGAAGGGTACACCCGCAACTTCGCTAAGCGAACCCTTATTCGCTAAATCAAAAACTGTCACATCTGTACTGCCACCTAATTATTTTCTCTTCTATTTCCACTTTTACTTATTTCACACTCTCCAACTAGATGGGGAACAGTCGACCCCGCGTTTTGATAGACGTAGATCATCAGGGGAGTCTTGCTACAGGGCTAAGTCTGGATCTTTTGGATGACGAGAAGCTTCTGAACATCTGGATTTAACAGACCAGGGTCTAGAATACACCACTCCTACTGGCTCTACACTCTGCTAGCACCCATATACTCACATCCACTCTTGTAAGCCAGAGAGTGCAATTAGGAAAGTACCAAAACGAAACCGAGTAGAATCCTTCGAGCCTTCAGCAAGGGGGGGGGCAATGCACGTGATAGGCAGGAACACCAAAACTCGTCTATACGTGTCAGCTCTTTTTCCCTGATCTGTTGGAACGAAACATGAATGAGACAAATTTATCGGCGTAATTAATTACTGTCTTGTCCTAATAGCATATGTCGTCCCGATAGATGGAAGTAGGGCTACGTAGGTGCAAAGAGCCGCCTCCCAAATAAGACAGATCTAATTTTTGAGTTTACAACTTCCTTTTTGGACTAAGCATAAGTTCTGAAAACAAGTATTTATTTAAGAATATCCATATTAAAAGCAAATTTCTGCTGGATCCGAGTAGCCGGACCGATCGGAATCAGGTGCGTTACGAGGGCCGGGCCTACTTGTTCCGTACTACTAGAAGAATGTGTGGGTATAGTGTTATATTGTTGCTTCCACTATGCTGCCCAGCCCCGAAGGACACCCGCCGCTGGCTCATTATACTACCTGGTACAAAGTATCCTGTAGGTCCTGGTATGACGCTCCCACCTTGCTAAGGTCAAAGCAAGCGTAATTACTAATAAGACTAAAAGTGCATACCACGAACTTAAAAAAGGAGATGTACATATCCGATAATGAGGGGCTACGTAATCATTGAGGTACTCCATCACAGGCGAATTAAATCCTGGTTAACTTCTCGGTTAGCTAAGGTTAGCAACTAGGAGAAACCCCCTGAACACCCTACATTTATTTCGCCTAGGACGAAGCATATCTTGCTCTAATACTCTTAAATAAGTCTAAGGTATTATAAATCTCGGACCGAGGAGAAACACAGAATCGTTACCAAGCTACACTCATCTATCCGGAACTCACGAGGCGGGTTGTTCCTGAGATATTCCTGAGATATTTATATATGCCTGGAATATTTGTGTAGGACGAATCGCACCAATTTCCAAGTTCTCATCAGATCATTACTCTTTTGGAACCGATCACTGTCTGCCCTCTAGCACTAGCCTGATTCTCTCTATCAACCTTCCTTTACACTTTTCACATAAAACACCAAGTACTTCGTCAACATGCGTCTCCTCAAACTCATCTTCGCGCTCGGCCTTACTGCCACTGCCATGGCATAGGACTGGGTGTGTCCATGGCAGTGGAGTGATTGTGACATTGGTTGTAACCTGCTGGTAAATGGTGATGGAAGCACCAATGGGGTGAGTTTAGAACTTCACACACACGCACATGCATATATCTTGATTCATTTGTGGCGGAAATGCGAATGGTGAAATTTTCGTGAAAGGATATTGTGTTAATATATTATAATAGGGAATCTTTACCTTCGATTGTAATGAGGAAATAAAGCTCAATCAATGTACATGCCAAAATAAAAAACAGGTTTATAAGTATGTTGGTGGATAAACTGGATTGAGCCGAGAACAGCGAGAGGTAGAGTGAGGAGGAGCGTAAGGTGTTGGATTTTTGGGGGGTATTATTTAGTGGGCTGGATTGGTCCTTTTGTTGGGTCCTTTTCTGATGGGTAGAAAGCACTGGTAGTTGATTGAAAAGTGGAAGAAGAGAGGGAGAGGAACTAGAGTTGTACAACTCTATTAAACGGCTATTTTCAAGTTTACCTGGCAATATATCTGTATAGGGGCATAAAAGGCATGTCAAGCCATCCGATTAACAGTCTAATGTATAGAGCACAGCACCAGTACAGTACACTCTCTTCTTCCCCCCGCTCCCCTCTCCCCATGTGATAGTTAGTTCCGAAAGGGTTATATACTAAACCTTGTATGTTGAAAGTTCAAACGACTACTCTCCCCCTCTCTCTTCTCCCTATAGGTATTCAAATGTTAATTCTAACAGCGTCATGCACTACTGTAAAGTTATATGACGAAACTACTTGATGTACGCCCGTAACATACTAGAGTTCACGATCAACCTCTAAAATAAGAAGTATGTGACTATGTGTATAGTGTTATATTATCACTTCCACTACACTATCTAGTCCTGAAGGAAACACCTGCCTGGCTTCTTAGAATACAAAGTACCCTTGTAGGTCAGGGTTTGACCCTCCCACTTTAATCAAGGAGGAGAGCGGGGAGTAAAGAGAAGTTTATGTTTAACGTTTATCTAGAGCCCTGTAGACTTTTATACTCTTTACGAACGCTAACTCGTAAAGATAGGAAACATTTAGCTCTTATATCGAACTTAAAAGAACTACCACTCCGAATATGATAAAAATAGCGTTAGGGACTTTCAGTGTCTTTTGGTTCTCTGGACTCGCGTGCCGTTAGAGAACCTGTCCAATGAGTGTTACAAACGCTTATATGATAACTTTATTTAATACTGAGCAAACACAACTTATATGTTAATTTTAGTACATAATACGTGATTTATATGATTTAACTTACGCCGACCTCGTATCTCTAGAACTACAAAATCTGGGTCCTGGTAGAGTTCTACTAGGAAGTTTCTAGTCTCAATTGTTAACCCACTTTGAATGGCTCTACACCAATAGTCCTATAGAAGTCCTACTTATATTAATTCTAGATGTCAAGTCAGGTACTATAGTAGAAATATTTTCTATATTCTGACTTCCTAAAACAATTTCGTAGCCCTTATAAGAATAGGAAAGAGGTATAACTTAGCTACAAGCACTAAAGATTACCCGTCCTGTTCATGAGAAAAACCCCCTTTTACCTCTACCCGTCCAGGTTTTCATAGACCAAAAGTCTACTAATGAATCAGATAGTCGCATTGGCATGGCCGTGATGTAGCTATCAAGCTAGTAACCTAGGGAGGCGGTTCCTTCCTTCCAAGGAGACTATGTCTTGCAAGAGGAGGTTGAGAGGGAAGGAGAAGGTCTTCAAGTATACTGGTTGGCGGGCAATATACCCTCTCTTCTACCTATCATAGATTTTTACACTCAACTTTCTTCCTCTCGCTTCTGCCCTCTGAGCTCCTGCTTTGGCTTGCAGAAGATAGGTGGGCATCTAGAAATTGATTTAGTTTGAATCTACAAGAGTATACCCAAGACCAACATAACATGCAGCCTGTAGAAAAATATCACTGAACAAGCTTCAATTGTTTTCAGGAATAGATAGAAGTGATGATGGTGAAGAGCTGCATGAACTCACCGCAGTCAAAAGTGAGGTTGAGGTTGAGGTTGCACAAACAAAAAGTGGGTCAGCTGACTCGCAATCCTAGACCTCTCGCGCGTCTTCCAGTTGCCTCAACATCTCGCATGCGCCTTCCAAGTACCTACCTACCGAGCTACCCTCCTCTACTCATATCAACCACCACATCACCCTCAATCCCCAATTCTCCACCCCACCCACCACCAAAATGTCCGAACGAGACCTCCAATCCATCCTCCAAAAACTAAAATCCACAACCACCTACCCCGAATCCACAACCCTCCTCTCCAAAGCCAAAATCACCCTCCTCCACCTCAAAGCCCTCACACCCCAGCCCACAACCCCCCAAACCCTCCTCCTCCTCGCCCGGGAAGTCTTCGAGTCCGGCGCCCTCCTCTCAATCCGGTACAAAGACACAGCAGCCTTCACACGCTACGTCCACCAACTGACGCCCTTCTACGAGCTGCCCTCGTCCATCCTGCCTGGTGCGAAGAGCGAGCGCACGAAAGTCACGGGCTTGTACTTGTTGCTTTTGTTGACGCAGGGGAACTATGCGGGTTTCCATACGGAGCTGGAGGGGTTGGAGATTCGCGAGGGGAGTGATGGGGTGAGGGTGGAGGATGATCGGTATTTGGGGTATCCGATTCGATTGGAGCGGTGGTTGATGGAGGGGAGTTATGATTTGGTTTGGAAGGCGATGGCGAGTCGGGAGGTACCCAGTGAGGAGTATGCTGTTTTCTCAGAGGTGAGGTCCATTCGTTCCCTCTTGTCCAGCATACCCGATTGTATTTGGACGGGTTGTCTGTCGGAAATACATTGCTAACTATATATCTGAATTAGATTCTCACCATCACCATCCGAAACGAGATTGCTTCTTGCAGCGAAACAGCCTATCCATCCCTCCCAATTTCATCTACCAAGAATCTACTTTTCCTCGACAGTGAAGGAGCCGTTGTTTCGTTTGCCCAGAGCAGAGGCTGGTTGATTAGGGACGGACGGATATATTTCCCCAACCAGAGCTTGAAGGCCGGGGCAGATCTAGATGGCAACCAGAAAGAGCTGAGTCAACTTGCCATCGAGAACACGTTAGGTTATGCGAGAGAGTTGGAGACGATTGTATGAGGAGCCAGAGAAATACATCACTTTGCTACTGTACTAGACAAGCGAGCTACCCCAATCCCAAGTTCGCGCTTCATCACCCCTGTATTCTAGATTTGGCGCCCAGGCGTATCTCAAAAAGATGAATTAATGGATGGGCATATCATAAGATTCTTTTCGCTTCATCTACCACGTAATCCTCCAGCAGACTATCATTCGTTATTCTCTACATGTGACTGAATACAACAGCCAAGTATGACGACCACTTTCTACTTTTTCCGAACTCCATTTTGGTTCCAGAAAGATCCCCCCCTATGCAACTAGCTTCAACCCACTCCCGTTTTTCCCCACCTCACAAACCTCACAGACGGTACAGACTGTTCCTTTGTATTTCGAGTGGTACTTACTGCCATCAAAAGCACAGACCTCGAATGGAGAGCCAGAGTAGATGGGCGTGTGGGAGGCGGCGCAAATGTCGAACTCAGCGAATTGATCAAACTCAATCTCGAGCGTATCATTTGGATTACGTTCACATTGTGCCTTTGTCTTTCGTGCCTTTTAAAATATTAGCAAATATCCCTATACCATGGCAAAACTTGTACTTACGTTTTCCAACATCTTGGCATTACCGCCATTTGCCAACATACGGTTGGCAAAACTCAAAGCGGAATTGTAGTTCTTATTAGTCCAGGCCGACTTCAAGGCAGAGACAAGAGTCAACTGTCGATGAGCAACTTCCAGCTTGGGGATTGTGAAGTATGCAGAGAGCTCGAGACTACGCTTCAACTTTTCAGGCGATTTTGCCACTTCTTCATTACTGCCAAGATTTCGTCTCGACAACTCAATAGCCATAGCGATGCTGTATTCGCATGCCGATGTAATGAGTTTCTTTGCTTCTACAACCTCCGAGGGACTCGATACTGTATTCACAAGAAGTGCGAAAAGCATCCTCTTGAATATCTGTGCGCATTCTTCCAATTTGTTGGATTGCATGGCCTTGTAGCCTTTTTGGAGATCATATGTAGCTAGTGATTCAATGTCTTGAGGTATGATAGGGAGAACCTTTCTTGGATCTGTTTCGTCAACAGTTCGTCGGACGTAGTTGATTAGAGGTGGCAATCCAGCCGATGCTGGAAGATATGTTTTTGATGCCTCATAAATTTCCAAAAAGCGTGGTTTCAGAGGCTCGAAATTGACTGCACCAACTTGGCGATTCAACAGCTGCATGGCGGTCTCGAAAGAACCACCAGCGACGTGGTCTGCAGCAAGTGGCGAGTTGCGAGCCCACAAGTCAGCTTCGCTGCTGGCAGCTCCACCAGCTTCCGTACTCTCAACATTAACAAAGTCGCTCTCTACCTCTGGAACAATATCGTCTCCCATATCCCATCCCGCGGCATCCTCGTCATCGTCTGCATCTTCCAAATTGCCATTTCGGTTTGTAAGATCCTCATCACCAGTATCATCGAAGCCAAGTCCGTTGGAAGCTGCAGCTGGCTCATCCTCGAGTGTCAATCCATCGACTTGTCCGAGAAGAGCCTTTTCGAAGAATGATTGCGAGGTAGCCTTTGTTGGCCAATTCGCTTTGAATGTTTGTACTACGGGTTTTGGTGGCGTTAAGGGGCTTCCCATTGAAGGGAGAGTAATTTGTTCTTCAGTAAGCCCTGTCGCCTCTAATATTGACTCGCACTCATCTTCCAAGCCATGAGACTTGGCCGTCATGAATGCAAGGGGATCTATGGCTCGTTAGACAACTTTTCTACAACGTGGCAAATTTTGAACTTACACAGATCAATCTCCTTGAACATTTGAATTCGGTCCGTCACATCCCCGAGATACAATGCATTTTGGAATCTCGCAGTAAAGTCGCCACGGTGTTCTGCAATCTTGGCCATTCGTCCAAGCTTAGCCTCGTCACCAGTCGAGAGATACAAAAAGGATAATTTGTCGAATTGTCGGAGTTTTTGGTAAGTCATTTCAACAATTTGGTGGTTGCCGTGGGCAAGGGCTTCGGTTGTTAAGCGAGACCATAGCTTGGGCTTGTCTAATTGTTTCGCCATCTCAACAGCGACATCCAAGTTGCCACATTCAATGGCAAGCTCGAATCTCGTCTGAGGATCTTGAACGAACTGCAGAGCGATTTCTGGGTAACCTTTCTTCTGCAAGTACGAGATGATACTTTGACCAACAAGACTTGAGTTTTTGATTATTTGCAACATCTCTTCGTAGTTGCGTTTGACGAGAGCCATCTTGAATCGGTACTCTGTCGGGTCAATATTCAAAATCTTGGGCTTTGCGTTTCGATCCAAACAGTAAACTGTGCGTGCCTTTACTCGGACAAGATAAACAGTCTGGTCTAATGTGCGGACTATTCCGTTGTCGCCGTTCAGCAAAGTGTACTTGATGTGGTTCAAGGTTGAATAAAGAAGGACGCCAGCATCATCCCAGGTAGCACTCTTGATTCGGATGGTCTCGTGTAGTGTACTGACTTGTTCCAAAGCTTTCGTCACAATGGTCACATTGTGTTTACTTAGGAGGGCAGCGTAAAGGCCATCGTTGGACCAAACAATATACTTGACACCGCTGACTGCCAACTCGGCGACACTCTTCTTTTGTTGGATATCATATAGGTGGACAGCGGAAGGGGTAATTAGAAGGAGATTTCCGGTTCCACCAAAGTAGATATCAGTGGTTCCGTGAGGTGGTTTGATGGTTTTGGTGGTTGAGTTTGACAAGTCCTTGATATCAATTTGCTGGTTGCTGGCATTGAAAACGGCGAATCGATTGCGTGCCACGAATACAGCTGAATTTCCTTGACCCCGCTTGGTGTCAGCACCATCAATTGCTCCGGTGCCATCTCTTGGGAGGTTGATAAGTTCATATGAACCGCCATCTGCAGGGGAAGTGACCAAAATTGCACGTTCAGCAGGGTTGAAAGATAATGTTCGGGGAGGAACCCAAGGGCTACCAAGCTTCTTCAAAGTCAACAATGTTGGACTTTCGATGTTCTTTTGGAAATCATATGACCGAACGTGCTTCTCCTTAGTGATAAAGAAAAGATTGTTCTGGTAGAAAGCGGATGCAGGCCTCTCCCTCTCAAGTTTGAAAACCATAACACCATTATCGTGACCAGCCGCAAAAAGATTTATTTCGGGGTGGGCGGCAATCACCCAGAATCGGTCATTCTCACGCTTGAATGATTGTACCGAGGTACGTTTATTAAGGTCCCAGACTCGAATCGTCTTGTCTTCGCCCACGGAAAGTATTAAGTCCTGGTGTGGGTGGAACAAACATCCTGATGCGTTTTGAAAATGGCCTCGGCATGTGTCTACCTCCCAAGCTTTCGTCTCACTCATCCTCCATAGCTTCACCAAGCGATCATCACCCGCAGACACAATAAGAGGTAGGGTAGGGTGGAATGCAACCCAATTGACACCTCTGTCGTGACCCTCCAAGACAAATTTGACTACAGCATCTGTGTTCCCAAACATATCCGCCTGATTCTGATTCGCCCGTGACATTTGGTCCTCGAAAGTCATCGATGTTGGAGCTGAGTGTTTCTTGCGGAGTCCAGAAATGTCCCATACACGGACTGACTGATCGAGAGAGGCGGAAACTACCAAATCGTCTTTTGGGTGAAACTGCGCACACATCGTATAGTGATTGTGTCCGGTCATGGTGCAGACTAGTTTAACATGTTAGCCATTGGTATATTTGAAGTCGAAGGCTTATAGGAAGTGCCTACTCAGTGATCTATTCTGCCAGTTCCAAATCCTGATGGTTTGGTCGTCGGAACTCGAAATAATCCATGGAAGCTCATGATGGAAGAAAACTGTGCGAACATAATCCAGATGTCCATTCAAGGTAAAAAGACATCTGCGAGTCTGATACGACCAGACCTTGATCTTGTAATCGTCTCCCCCGGAAACGAAGAGGGGTTGTGTCTTGTGGAAATCTATTCCTCGAACTGGTCCATCGTGCTCTTCAAAACGGTCGATTAAGGTTCCCATACGATAATCCCATAGTTGAATTGTAGAGGAGTGCAAGGAGACGAGGATCCATGGCCTTGCTGGAATTAGCTGTGAATGCGCGGGGGGATCGATTGAGCATACCGTTTAGGATGGAAGGCAATGCCCTTGGCCCTCGAGGACTTTGATTCGAACTAAAGATTGGTTTAGCTATGCTATCCAACTGATGAACTGAAAGTGGAGTTCATGTGCGCCAATTCGTACCTTCGTCAGCATATTAGGAGAGGAGGACGCCATCTTGACCGACGCAGGGAGGATCGAGGAAGCCTATGCTTCGCGCATCAATGAACGGAGGTGGCAGACTTTTCTTGCAGGACTTCTGCTGCGGACGTGACCGTGGGAAATTTATCTGGCTTGGAATTGGTGGTATGGGTATGGGTATGTGGTCAAGTCAGAGCATTTGAAGATGCGATGCTTAGGATTTGTGGGCGACGTGCTCTGGGAAACTGCCACCTACTGCCTTGCGATTCGTGGTTCAGATTGTGGCCTGGGATGTGAGGTGTCGACGGGGGGGAGAGGGAAGAGGGAATTGTCTTGGTTCAGCTCAGCTCAAGCTTCACCTGCACTCTCAATTGAAACTCATCCATGCTGGTTCTGTGTATATCATAGATACCAACTTGTAGCTCCCTTCTAATTTACATATTTCCAAGGCCTTCTACAGATCAATGAGCTGGTCATTCTACATAACCAGTTTTAGACTTTTGTCTAAACTGGAAGAATTATTTAGTGCCGCTTTTATTTACATGTTCACCGTTGAATGGCCATGGCCAGGTGCTGGAGCTCTAGTGGAGGTGTATTGGCGTCGAGTGTCATTTTGGCAAGGTGGCCCCAAGCTCCCGGGTGTTCAGCCTTGTGCCTCAGATCACCAACACCACTTTTCTCTGCGCAGAGATCCACTGTAGGTAAGATAGGAATATGCCCGCCCTCATATCATTGACTTGAAAGGCATTCCTTTTATTCTTTCCGCTGGCGGACAGCAATTTTCCTCTTTCGCCCGCGAAGCCCTGAAAAAAAGAAACTGCCAAATTGTCAGCCCTGCGTGTGGAGGGACATCGACTCGTATATCATTTTAGAAGCAATAGCCGGGCAGCTTTCAAATCCACAACAACACCACCGCTCCCGCCAGATTCGAAGAGAAATTCGTGATGGGAATTCTCGGTATGCCGTGGGGCCTGACCGGCACCCTTTTGGCTTCCACGTACCTGCATTCGCTCTGCGCTTCTGCTAGTCCTTCAATCAATGTTAATCTCAAAGCTTCCTTTGCTCCAGCTCCATACCTTCTTGAATTATTGTAAATCACTCTCTTCCCTAGCGAGTTCTTCCTGGTCTAACCATCTGTAGAGAAACGGCTGCAGATGAGAACGCTACCAGCTACTTTCCCTTGCTCGATCGAATTGCGGAAGGTCATTTCTCCAAGCCAACAACGGATCAAGAATTGTATGAACTTTTTATAAAAGTCCTGAGGGATGATGGGCACATGGCTGACTCGGAGGCCCTGTCCTCCTACAAATTTGCCTTGTCAATGCGATCTGCCGCACCTCGAATCGAAGCCCATTACCAATATTACCATACGGCTGCCGAACCATCTTTGGCGGCCCAAGAAGGTACATCATGTCCCGCATGGGTACTGTTTCACGGCAAACAATACTGCTCACCATCGCTGGATGCTTCGAAAGGGGAGGTTACTGGGAAAACGTAGGTATCCAAAAACTAACAATTATTAAGACAAGGCTAATTATGGTTCATAGCCAGACGCAAGAACTTCAATTTGATCGAGTCTTGGGAGACCTTTCGGCTCCTGCTTCTATTTTATATGCAGATATTACATCTTCGGATTTTGGAAAATTCCACAAAACCTTGGTAAAAACTGCCCGGGAAGGCAAAACTTCCTACCGAGTTCGTCACAGGAAGGGCCGTTCAACAAAGATTCATCGATCATTGATGGTTCCAGGTTATGGTGTAGAGTTGGCGTTAAAGCGTACAGATTACATTGTAATTGACGACAGAGAGGGCGAGAAGAATCAGCCTGCAAAGGATGTCAAGGAGAAGGAAGTCAAGTTCGAAGACGAGGAATTGGCGGATTTGAAGCCATTATCTACGTCAGAGCTAGTCTCTCTCGGAATTAAGGCGTCAAGTTTCATTATGCAAAGTGATAAGCCATTCGAAACGCTTGTCAAGTTGTTGCAAGATTTCCCAAAATACTCCAGTGCCATAGCATCACACAATGCTACGAAAGAGTTTGTTGCCGAGCACGAGTATAACCGTGCTCAAATGGTGCCCGGAGGCTACAATGTATGGTGGATGAATGGTATTCAGATGATCGATCGCCAAATAGAAGCCTTGAGTATTCTTGTTATGCTCAGAGCCGAACGGAAACTCATCAATGGCGTCCGAAATCTGGGTTTGACTGGGCGTGAGGCGATCGATCTACTCTCTCATGAGAATATTGCGCTCGTGAAGTCTGAGAAAGAACCACTAAGATTCGACTGGAGAGATGATATTGAAGGAGGTAATGCCATCATCTGGTTGAATGACATTGAAAAGGATACACGTTATGAGGATTGGCCATCCTCCCTCCAAGCAGTGAGTAGTCCTTGATCGTCAGATTTTAGTTTCTACAAATTCTAATTTCCAATTAGTTCTTACAGCGCACTTACCCCGGCCAATTACCGAGCGTGCGAAGGGAATGTTTTAATTTGGTGGTACCAGTTGACTTCACTAATATCGAGGATTTGTTACTCGTCACTCAAACGCTCGCTAGTTTCGTGAAGAGAAAGCTCAATATTCGAATTGGGGTAGTGCCGAAATCTAATACCCAAAACTCTCTGGATCAAGCAAGGGTCTTGTACTATTTGCTGGATACTTATGGGCTTTCCACAGCGATAAGTTACTTGGAGAAGGCCTTTGCTGCCGAGAAGACGTCAGCACCAAGCAAGGCAATTGCCGATGAGGCGGTCGACGGCCGAAATGTCAAACCAGAAAAAGTGGCTCGCTCTATTGATGAGATCGTCAAATCCGAAGACTACCAGGAGCAGATCCAGGCCTCCAAAAACTGGATGAGCAGACTTTCCGCAGACGGCAAGACTCGTATAGCACTCGTGAACGGCATCGTTATACCACGGACGGATAATTGGCTCCATGCAATGCAACAGAAGGTAACCACTGATATACAATCTGTACAGCAAGCAATCTTTCAAGACACATTCGCTTCTGATGCCTGGCTTCCCTCTTATTTTTTATCAAATGCAGTCACGCATAGAAATGCATTGATTGTTCCAGAAGATGAGAAAGACCTGAAGATTTTCGATATCAGCAAATTTCTAGGTGACATGCAAGACTCGTTGAACACTTTTCCTGGTGTCAAGGCACACCCTGATTCCGTCAAAAAAGATTGGGCTCACATGGTCTTAATTACCGACCTAGAGTCTGAAGCTGGATCGAGTTTACTCGCTGCGACACTTGCCTTTCGCGAGGCGGCTCCATCTATTGAAATTACCATCTTGCATAACCCAGGTTCACGAGACATTGGTACTGGGTTGAGTCACGACTTTTATGCTCATGTTCTTGAAAATCCAGAAAAATCTGATACTGTCAACGGATTGACGGAGGTCATCGCATCGGATAAGAAAAAGGATGATGGGCCAACCGTGCAACAATCAACCGACTTTTGGGACAATGCAGCTCCGTTCATTAAGTCTTTAGGCCTTCTGCCTGGTCAAGGGGCTATTCTTCTCAATGGTCGATTTGTGGGTCCAATTCTAGAAGCTAATACCCTTACCCATGGAGACTTTGAGCAACTACTGGAATATGAGCGTTCCAAACGTATAGTTCCAGCATATACAGCGATGGAGGAACTTGGATTTGCCGAAAAGGTTTCAAATCCCTTGTCATTGGCTAAAATCTCGTCACTTGTGGCATTGTCAACAATATCGGATACTCCAGAAGGAATGTTTGAAGGGGCTTCAACAATTCGAATGAGCAAATTCAATCTGTGGAATTCTTCACACACTGCCATAGAGGTTGGGGACAAGTCTACGGCGAGCATCCAGATGATATTGCTGGTCAACCCTGCAAGTCAACAAGCCCAGAAATGGGTGCCAATTCTCAAGGCGATTTCTGAGCTTGACGGTGTTTATGTTAAGCTATATCTCAACCCTAAAGATAAATTGGAAGAACTTCCAGTGAAACGCTTTTATAGATATGTCATTGACTCGAAGCCAACCTTCACCGATACTGGCTCCCTTCGACCTGTGGGTGCGACCTTCAGTGGTGTACCACAAGAAGCACTACTGACCATGGGTATGGATATTCCACCGGCATGGCTTGTTGCACCAAAACAATCCGTACATGATCTGGACAACATCAAATTGAGTTCAGTCAAATCCGATGTGGAAGCTTTGTATGAGCTTGAACATATCTTGATAGAAGGGCACTCGCGTGAGGTTTCTGACGGCGGCGCCCCTCGCGGAGCACAGCTTGTTTTGGGAACTGAAAAGAATCCTCATTTTGCCGACACAATCATTATGGCAAATCTGGGTTATTTCCAATTCAAGGCAAATCCAGGCTTCTACAAGATTGATTTGCAGGAGGGTAGAAGTTCGGAAATTTTCAACGTTGACAGCATTGGGTCTCTAGGCTGGAGCCCAGTGCCCGGGGATGAGAGCACAGAAGTTGTGTTAATGAGCTTCCAAGGTGCCACTCTCTACCCTCGACTATCACGAAAGCCCGGCATGGAGACCGAAGATGTTCTTGTGTCAAATGAAGACTCCGTGATGGACTTTGTCTCTCGGGGACTTAATTTTGCTCAAGGGCTCTTGGGTAAGAAGCCCGTCATGGCCAAAAAGGAGCACGCTGAGATCAACATCTTCTCCGTTGCTAGTGGACATCTCTATGAGCGAATGCTGAATATCATGATGGTTTCTGTCATGAAGAATACCAAGCACACAGTTAAATTCTGGTTCATTGAGCAATTTCTCTCACCATCATTCAAAGATTTCATCCCATACTTGGCCGAAGAGTACGGCTTTGAGTATGAAATGGTTACATTCAAATGGCCTCATTGGCTTCGAGCTCAGACAGAGAAGCAACGTGAGATCTGGGGATACAAGATTCTCTTCCTTGATGTCCTCTTCCCCTTGTCTCTCGACAAAGTCATCTTCGTCGACGCCGACCAGATTGTTCGTACCGACATGATTGAATTGGTCAACCACGACCTCCAAGGTGCGCCTTATGGTTTCACTCCTATGTGCGATAGTCGAACCGAAATGGAGGGATTCCGCTTCTGGAAACAAGGGTACTGGGCCAATTTCTTGCGCGGTCTACCTTACCACATCAGTGCCCTCTACGTCGTCGACTTACACCGCTTCCGTGAAATCGCCGCAGGTGATCGACTTCGTCAGCAATACCACGCCTTGTCCGCCGATCCCAACAGTCTCTCCAACTTGGATCAAGATCTTCCTAATCACATGCAATCTATCTTGCCTATACACAGTCTCCCACAGGAATGGTTGTGGTGTGAGACATGGTGTAGTGACGAGAGTCTGGCGGAGGCGAAGACGATTGATTTGTGTAATAATCCTCAGACCAAGGAGCCTAAGCTGGACCGCGCGAGGAGACAGGTTCCTGAGTGGACGGTTTACGATGATGAGATTGCGGCTGTGGATAGGAAGAGGAGGGGAGTGCCGGAACCGACGGCAGAGAAGAAGAATGAGAAGAGTAGAACGCTGGAGGAGCTTCCGAAGACTTCTGCTGCAGATGAGAAAGATGAGTTATAGATCTTGCGTTTTGGGGGATTTTGGAAATGTTTTTGTATGTATGGATGGATGTACATTAAGCACAAGAGAGTTTTTGATGTTTAAGATGCTATGGCTTTTTGTAGATACTGTGTCAATACTTACACTTCCATACTCTCGGTGATCAGACTTTTATGGCTAACTAAAATATTTCCTCAAATGAAAACCGACTGAGTTCATCGTGTAGAAACAACCCAGTCTTCGCTTAAGATGGCGACCAATTCCACTCCTCCAAATCCTTCCGAGCCTCTCTTCTCGGTGTATGTTAGAACTTCGACAAATACAACATCTTCTATCAAGTCAAACCCCATTCCCTTCCTCAACTCCCTTCCTTCGAGAAAGCACTCTGTGCAAGCCTACAAGGTACCCATTCCCCATACCCCGTCGCACATCACACCAAATACACCAAAGGCCGCTCTCCCCTTCCTCCTCCCCACACAAAAGTCAGAAACAGAATCCCCCAAACCCAGCATACCATGTCACAAATATCCCAAGTACAATAATCTGACACCCAAATCACCAAAGCACAGAAAAAGATGATGTGTAACTTTGTCAGTGGAGAAGGAATTGCTTTTGTCATGGAGCCTGGATGGTTTTGTTGAGTAGGTTTATGTTACGGTTGTTACGTCGAATATTGAATGCGGTTATGAGGATGTTGCATTCGTGTTTCGATTGCGTTGTTTGGAGGTGTCTTGAGTTGAGGACTTGGCGTGGTGAGCTCTTTGCCCGGGGCTTTTGTCTTATTCCTGGTATGTTTGTGTATTATCATGTATTTAATTCTCAAAGGAGTTATTTGGATTAGGAAATCTTTTGAATGGATGAATGAATGTAAACAAGGAAGGAAGAGTGAGGTCACATGTATACAGTACAATCTCTCCACAAACACAGTATAACATAACACCCGCATCCCATCCGTTATCATGACACGTAATACCGGATATCACGATGCTACAAGGGAGGAGTCTTGAAAGTTTCTAGCTTACTTGATGGCCGACTGATTTTTTGGATCATCGACTTGCAGGACCGGGGAGAGTGTGGAGGGAGTGGGAGGGAGTGGGAGTAATAGAGTGCTAATCTGGGATGATGTATCTAATCTTACCTATTTAATCACGTAGATATCTCGAAGTGTATTTTGTACGAGTACTTAACTCGGTACTCATTCGATAGATCCATTATCCCACACGTTTCTATACTCATTCATCTATTTCGTACCATCAATCTATCGAGTAACTCTCGTACCAATACAATCTTATTAGGTTACATGGCGATATCTTTCCCCCCATAACCTGAGCTTCACAGAGGGACTGATTGACGGCAACCGGTCCTCGATCTCCATGAAAAGTTGTGTTTCTTTGGAAACTGTGGAGTTGAAGTAACATAACCTGGAAACTTTCTATAAATCCTCTCCTTTTCCCTTGACAAGCTCACTGTACTATCAACCATACACTCCTTCAATCCAGAACTTCCATTCCTTCACCAACAAACCAGAATCTAAAAACAAAATGAAATTCACAGCCCCCCTCTTCTTAGCTATTACAGCTTTTTCGGCGAGCATCAACGGCGTAGCTATCCCGACGGATTCGAATGTGGAGATTGTGATTAATGTGAAAGTAAGAATACATCCCCCTCTCCCTCATTTTTATTCCTCTAATACTCTGTTCCTCTATTCCTCTGAACTGCGACGAAGAAATCATTTGAGGCTTCGAGGACTAACTAATATGGTAAAATAGGACGATCCTCAAACGCAAAACTCCCCCCACGCCCGAGTCTTCAACGCCGAGACGCTTGACCAACCACTTGGGACGGAACTCTTCTGTTTGGGTGAGAATAGTATGTACACATTTCCTCTTTCCTTTTTCCTCTTTCCTTTTTCCTCTTTCCTCATCAACAACACTCATCCCCTTCTTTCTCATCAACCATCCTATCCACTATCAATAATCTCTTCATATTTTCTTTCCAGAACAGAGACAGTTGTAGTTACTAACAAGAAATAGTCCCATGCAACACAGCCTTCGGCTTCGGCTGCTGCGAAGGCCTCCAATGCGGCGTTACCAAGACCCTTTTCGGTCCGTTTTATCAGTGTACGAAACCGAAGTATCCTTGGGAGAGTGCGGTGGGTGGGTATAAGGAGTTGCGTGCTAGAGGTGAGGGGATGGAGGGTGTGGATGTGAGTGTTGAATAGATGGCTTTTTGGTAATGTCTACTTTGGCTGGGCAGAGATGGGGAGATAGGAGAAGGAGACTGGTACTTGTGTGAGGGCTTCTTACGCTCTTTTGGGGATGGGATTTGTTTTTTTCTTGGGGTGGTGAGTTGGTGTGGTGATGGTGTTGTGAAGGGAGGTTGAGTTTTCGATTATACTACTTTTCTTTTCTTGGCGGAGGGGACTTGGATTGGTTTGAATTGGATTGGATGTCAATTCGCTTTACCTGTTTGGTAGGGATTGAATACTAAACTGATTGTTTTGGTGATCTTTTATGGAATTGGGTTAGACTCGTGACAGGGTGAGAAAAGTGATTTGCTTATTGATGGTGAACAGATGTGTGATGCTAGCAGTATTACGGTAAACTTGTTGAGCTGGCCTTGAATGGGCTCTGAAAGGAATGCTTGTGTTGAGTAATCTACTGGTCAAGTATTGTAGCTCTAATGACAATCGATATAACACACTAAAACTACATCCTACGCGCTCCACACGTCCACACAAAGGTAAAATACAGTATTAGAAACCTGGACGTCGGCGGTCACGATCGTAGTAAAGATCTTACCTCTTGCCTCATATCCACTTCATCCCATCGATGCATCAAATTATCCCAAAGAGAGACACTCACACATCTCCATTAAATCAGGACTACAAATCCCCTTCTCTATCTATACCACGGAAAGAACCCCAACCCCTCTTTCTCCACCCCCCCTACCCCTAACTAATTAACATCCCTCGCTTCCCACCCGCCCCCTAAATCGTCGCAAAATACTGTTAACACATCGAAATCCTACAGCCACCGCCATAAAAATTAGTAACCTTCCCGCCTAGCCTAGTCAGTTCAGTTAGTGTGTGTCTACCCATCTATTAGCGCTAAACTAAGAAGCTGTTACGTATACCTCCCTCCCCATTCCCCTCCGCCGTGAAAATCCATAAAAAATAGAATACCCCTTAAAATTCCACCCGTCGAGGGGATTCTTCCTGAGGAGGCCTCTTAGCTGTGATGCTGGGGGGCTTGTAGGTTTTGCCTTTTTTAGGGGGAAGCTTTTTAAGTTTTGATTAGGAGAGGGAGGGAGTGGGAGATTAGAGTGTTTGTTTTAGGCTTTTTTTTTAGAACGGTTTATTTCACTTTACTCCTGATCTCGGTAAGTTTTCGTTAGATAGAGGAGTTCTTGGTATTAATAATATATATAGGTAGTTTAAAGTGTCTCTATATAAAGCGATAGGTAAATTAGGATTAGCTACCCGGTAATAATTACACAAATATTAATATCCTACATATAAGAACACCTATACTATCAAACTTACCCTAAGATTCGCTGAACTCCTCGTACTCGAGTTTAATACTATACTATACCTTACTGTGAGGGTTAGAACCCATAGTGGGGCTCGGGCCTAGAGCCCTCGCTAAGCTAAGCGACCCCGCCTCTGGAACGCCATGGAATAAGATAGAATGCTATGATGCAGAAGATTGGTAATACTATGGAACAGTGTTGAATGCAATGGAAATGCTACATTTAGTATAAGAGTAGAGGAGGAACATGTATTTACAGACCACGTAGTTCTTAATTGAATATTGAACCCACACCTTTGAGTTGTTCGAGGTCTGGCCTCTCACACTTACGTAGTAGGTACCTATAATCTACGTGTAAGACATTCATATCCTCTCTCCCTATCTATCCTCTTTCACCGTGAAATTTCTAGATCCTCCACCTTTCGCAAGGCGAAAAGGAGGTAGACTTTTCTTTTCTACGCCATGACCGCGTGCGTGGGAGACGTCGTCGTTGGTCTGGTCCGTTAGTTATAGTACTGAGTAGTCAAGTGGAGTGATTCTTGTTAGTCGGCTCTGAACCGTACATTATAGTCCAGCTATAACCTCGATCAAGGTCTGCATTATATTACTCTACGAAAAGTGCAATGTAGTATCGGAAGGTCGACCTTTATGAAGTAGATACAGTACCAAAGAATACTCTAGATTTGATTTATATTTTTACGGTTTGTTTTTGAGGGGTTGAAGTAGGGTGCACGGGTGTAAAATGTGCGGTTGGATCTGTATATACTTTAGTAGAGAGGTTAATTGGGTCTGTTTTGGGGGGAAGGTGTGCCGGGGTTCGAAGAGTTTGTTTTGGGGCTTTTCTTGCTTATGCTTGGATTTTGATGGATTAGTATGATGTCCTGTGGTGTAAATGATATAGGTAGGTAGGTAGGTAGGTAGTGTCACGAATCACGTGTTAACACGTGAAGAGTGAAGACCAGGCGCCGCCCTGACAGGTCAAGCACATCCGTAGACTTATAGCAAATAGGGATCAGCTAGGCTAGCTAAGCGATCCAGGGATTTCCTTTGGTTATAATCACGTGACAGTTGGGTCGCCTGGAGCGACGAGCGCTCCAGTCGCCTGGGTCGACTCGGTAGACGAGCGACTCTAGCGATCCAACTGTTGGAACAAAGAACGGAGGTTCTATATAATACTGGCACGTCTGCCATTAGATAGGAGCTTCGTGCTCAACTTAGTTATCAATCTTATCATATTAGTTTGACATCTTTGATACAAGTAACGAGTTCACTTCCAAGTGAACAACCCGATAGTCTTCTTCTTATCATAGCATACCAACCAGCGAACACCCAGCCAAGTTTAGTTAGCCAGTTTGAGTATTCGTTACAGGTAGGTATTCGCCGACTATATATACACGGAGTATGCTTTTGCTACGCTTCGGAACAGGAGACAGGTGTAGGTATTACTAATTTACCACTCCATTCCATTCAAACTCACTCCATCGGTAGTTCTCCTCGCCATGTAATCAGACGAAAAAACTCGAATTCTTAGAATAAGATACTACATTCAATGGAGAAATCATCCAGTCACATTATCAGATAAGTAGTGTAGTCTACAAACGTGAATTTAAAGATGGAAAGTATGGTTGATACCAAGAAACCAAGAAAAACAAGCTTGCCGCGCCGGGAAGTTTATGATGCTTGTTCATGAAAATCTGTTATGGATCTCTTGGGTAGCTTTTCCAAGAGTCTCGGCGATGTTGGTGGCGTTGGTATGATGGTGTTGTACTATAGCACGTACTGAATTTGAGATGGTTTTGCTCTGCTATGCGATTTTAATTCCGAGGAAGAGGAAGATGGGATTCTTCGATTTGCTTTGAAGTTATTTTGCCACCAAGTATTTTTCTTTTACTTCATGATTGAAAATGAATTGTTGTTTTTGCTGTTTTCACTAACTTAAGGAGTCTGGAATTAGATGAGATAAACTCTCCTGTGGAAATGGGGTGTGTGGATCACGTGACAGTTAAGCACATGACCCAACACCTGATGCTGAGTTCCCATTTGTTATATCAGACATTCATGTTCTAGCGTAACGCCATTCATAGTATTTTGTTAGTCTAGTCAACTAGAACAATGTGTTCAGTGCAAGCATGAATATTCCAAGGTAGTAAATTGACCTGATGAGTTTGGATCATTGGAATACTTGGACCAAATTACACTAATAATAGGAAGATAGAACTCCAAACCCCGTTTTCTCTACCAAAAGGCTCTGTAAAATATATCCAAAGACCTCAAGTAAACATTTGTGCCTATGCATATTAGATTGGAGTTTTCATTAGCAAATTAGCCGTAGCCTAGATGCTCACGACCCTATCCTGTTGAAATCCTAGGCCGTTTCAAGATCTTTTCTAGAAATAACTGCATCAAAGGCTAGACACATCATATTGGGTGGCTAGACAGTCTATGAGATATAAAGGCCTCAATTTGAGCATATGGTTTACATGATAAGGTGATAACATACTCCTTCAACCTTACTAATTTTCAAAGCCCTGTATTCAAAAAGAAAACTTCTGTTGACAGCCATTCTGGGAAGCACCTGTTAGAATATGACTTTATTGATTGAACTACAGAAGGGAGAAGTGCAGAAGGTGCCAGCTTAAATACAATGGAGAATTCTACCGCTGACCAATTGTCCGTTACTCGGTTGAATGTGATTATGTGATAACACCGTAGTACGGCGGGACCTGACGGCGGAATTAAACAGCACCCGATGTGGTATACTTCAGTATGTTTCAAATGGATGATTTCTATCCTCATACTTCGTAGAAGTAGAGCCACCTTCAACTGTCAGCTCTTGTTCCCGTAATACCTGGTTCGATTTGGCAACACAGTTGGCAACTGGGAACATGTATCCACTACAGTAACATCTAATTAACCCCTGTTTTCGCTTACGCGAGTTGAGCAGCTGTTTTTTGTTCTGTAGAACCACATCCTCTCCATGGATGACGTATATGTGCAAGTCTTACTGCGACGTTGATTTCCCGCGAGCTCCTCTACTTTTCCCAGAGCTCCTCTACTTTTCCCAATCCACTACAATCCGACCCTACAAGTCATGAAGCAAATACCACCGAGCACGAAATGTCCAAATATAAAGAGGTAAGTCCTCCAAGCGAGTCTTCCTCTCACTGCCCCCTTCCTATTTTCTCTAGTATCCTCTCTTTCAATATCAAGGCAAAATGCGTTACTCAATCCACCGGCTCCTCTCAGCCTCCCTGACAATCTCCCAAATCACAGCAGTCATCGCCGCGCCCAGGTCTCCAGCCGTCACTAAAGTAACCCATCAGTTCTCCAGCCAAACCTTCGCAGAGAACATCGCAGCCCGCTCCAATGGCGATCTCCTAGTAATGGATCTGAACGCACCTGAGATCCTTCTTGTGGATCCCACCCTGCCCTCACAACCCGATCTCCCCATCGTGCGTTTCCCAAACGCCAAAAGCACCCACGGAATAGCCGAGATCGCGCCCGATGTTTTCGCCGTGGGAGTAGGAAATTATACTGGGCGTAGGGACAACATCCCGGAACTACTCGATTTGGAAAGTTGATTTGCGGCCTCTCAGGCTCACTCGCGACAATGCTACCGGAGGTGCAACCAGCGAGCAAGCCCCCGAGATTTCCCTAATCGCAGATGTCCCAGAAAGTATGTTGTTCAATGGGATGACCCATCTCGGAGGCGACAGCCCATACGTTCTCGTCGCGGATTCTGTCCTGGGTGCTGTCTTCCGAGTAGATACCCAGACTGGAGACTACAAGATCGTCATCCAGGATGCGCTTTTCGAGCCGGTTCCAGGTGCACGGGTACAGATTGGAATCAACGGCATCCACATGCGGGAGTCGGATCTCTACTTCAGCCAGATGTTCCTCGACGGTGGATTCCTAGGCAAATGCCCCGTCCATCTTTCCGGTCCTGATGCGGGTTCAATGAGTGGAAACTTCACTATAATCGCCAAGAACGCCCCCAATGATGATTTTGCGATTCAAGCGGAGACAGGGGATATCTAAACTACTACCCATTTCACAAATGAAGTGCAGAGAGTTGGTTTGGATGGCAGTTTTGAGACTGTTGCGGGATCACCTGATGATCCGCTTTTTATGAGCAATACTGCGGCTACTTGGGGAAGAGGACAGACGGATAAGAATGTGTTGTACGTCAGTACTGTAGGCGGGGAGGGTGCTGAGCAGCCAAGAGACGGGGCGGGGTCGTAGCAGTTGATTTCAAGAGGTCTTGAAGAGGGTCACGGTTGAGCTACGTACGGATAATTTAGCCAGAACTTCTGAAAGTGAGAAGACGCTCGCAAAACTCCCAGCTGTCTAAAGTGAACCAAAGAATTCATTGAGGCTCATCCTCCCAGTCACCGAATTGTACTGTACAGTTTCTTCGTGCGTCAAGTGTGGATGTTTTTAACAGGATCAGGAACCGAGATATAAGCCTTGGGACAAGAATAAGGTTGCTCCCTTAAAAGACTCCCTGGTTCCCGGTTCCCGATTCCCGTTTTCTATTTAGGAAATGACAAAACCCTAAAAACTGCCCAAGTAGCATAATCGCAAATCGCAAATCGTAAAAGATGCTTGACATAGTACGGAGTAGAAAGAGCTCAAGAATCGAGTCGATCTATTAAAAATACTCTATATTACATTAGATAGTATAAGTAGTGTATAACTAAGATGCCGTAACCTGGAAGTACTTAGATGTGTACTTAAGAATAATCAGAAGTCCCAAAATACAAAGAAGCTAGAAAAATTATCAATGAAAACTTTATGGACTTTTCCGAGTGGGTGTTAGAAGAAAATAGGCACTTCTTCAAAGTAGCAAACAACATAGCAAGGCACAGCGAAATAGCAGGAAACATCGACGAATATCTTCTTATTCCAAGGAGTAAATCCATATATAAAATATATACACGCCACAAAGGCCATGACAAACACCTCACCGCCACCATCGTTCAATAATCTGCTCCCGATTAACATTCTTCGCAAGTAACTGCTGCAAATCAATATCATCCAAGCTCCCCTGTAAATCCACAATCTCCTGCTGAAACATAGAAACCGAACTCTCGATATCCGCATCCAAGAGTCGGACTTTGTGATACAACGTCTCCGCCAGCAGAGAATCCTGCAAGAGTTGTAAGGTCAACTGCGAGTCTAAGAGGTGAGAAGATATCGAGCTCTCCGTTGTGGTTTGGAGACTCGACGAATGGATATCTAACTTGGTGATACGATCAGTAAGGATGTGTTCTAATCCTTTGACGCGTTCTTGGTCTGTAGCGGTGTCTGCGGGTAGTGTGATGCCTAGGTTTCGTGCAAGTTGTTGCTCTGGGTCAATATCCTCATCCTCCGTGCCGCAGAGACGTCGTCGTGAATTCCTTGTTTTGATGCCAGGTACACCTAACGACGTTCTCCTCTCATGAGTAAAAGATTTCGAGGGAGTGGGTGGTGGAGGACTATCAACTACACGTGATAGTTCCGTTTTTGCTGTATCCAAAACAACCTTTAAGGCCATTCTGTGGCACTGGTCTTCTTCCGCGCGTTCCAAGAAGGCCTCAAGGCGACTGACTAAGAATGTGAGGCATTGGTGGATCTATGCCGCATTAGATGATTGTCGATGACGAATACCTCCTATTAACTTACATATTTGACAGCTTTGACAGCACGTTCCTGGCCCTGGCCATTCTTGGCTGATATGGTTCTAAGAGCTGGTTGCAAAAATTGCTGCTCAGCAGACATCTGAGCAACAGGCAATATCTCTGAATACAGAGACTCCAGCTCTTCTTGTAAATCTTTGCTTTCCTGATTATCAGGGTCATTAGAAGCAGATGAAGGTAAAGCTTCTAGATATATGCGATCCAACTTTGTTCTTATTCCCTCGACAGTATGTTTGATGAGTCTGATGGACAATTAGTTATGCCTTTGCAGCTGGAAAGCTAACTTGCCTTGCAGACAACTCTCTTATACGAGCAATAATATCATCGTCTTCTGTTTGTACAGGGTCAAGGTCCAGAGCAAGTTTTTGCAGACTTGATAGCAGTTTGTCATCCGACTTTAATATGCTATCCACCGTCTTCTTCACCGTTACCTCGGAGAGGTTCGTTTGTTGTTCCAAATCCAGTATTTGATATTCGAGATTTTGAGATAGATCTTCAAGCTACAAATGATATTCTTAGCCGCGACATAAAATATAAAAGAACCAGAGAGGAATCTTACAGCTCTGCTCACATGCTCTCTTTCCGCATTCCATTTCTTGACTTGGCTATTGCTCGAAAGAGCCCGCGCCTGGCTACTCCGCTGATTATTCTTGACCAGTGTACCCATTGCACTTTGTTGTAACCTCAGAGCCTCGCTCTGTTTCTCAATCGCCGCAGTAGAACGTCTAAGCTCCTCAATAGCATCTCGAATTTCGGAATCGTTCAGGCCATGAACGGCAGAAAGGTCCTGGGCTGCGAGTCTTTCATATTCTCCAGTCTTGGTTAAGCTCGCATATCTGTACTATATTAGCAAAGGTAATTCACATGCGGTGAAGAACCATACAAAGCAGCCTCATCTTTCGTAAGTAGTGTTATCGGCGTCAAGTACTCGTCCATCCATTCTCGAATAGCGGTCTGGTTTTCCGGATCTCGACATACAGATTTGAGGGCATCTCGATCGTATGGCACATTGCGGTCCCGTAAGATGGTTGCAAGGTCTTCGAATAATTTATCTGCCATATTGTATGGAAGAGAATCCCCAGATTGTCTACCCGGACAATTATGATGCTTGTTTTGTTTTGGTGGACGGGACCCTTCGGTTCGGTAATGCTTCGGCAGTCTACCCCACCTTCCGAGCCGGTCCGATTTCGCTCTTCCTCCAATCTAGAGGAATTTGGACTCCCTAGTAAAGCTTCAGCTTACATCACAGAATGAATTGAGCAACGCTTTTTCATTTCTTGATCGTTTTCGTTTTTTGGAAAGAAGATGACAGAAAGCAATGTTCTAAAAGGTTACACATCAGATTTATTCGAATCTCTTAAATTAGTACGTGGACCTCGAGCCAGCGGGTATCGCAATGATAGCTGACAGAAATATGATAGGTAGCCAAATCATCATGGCGAAGAAATCTAACCGCATGGCTATATGTGCCTATTGGTACTCTACTTATCCTACTCGCTTGTTTTGTAGTTAATTCTCTTATTCGAATGAGCTCTGTGTCCTTCCCAGCTTCTGTGGCTCTTTTGGTTGTCCTATTCTTTGGTCTCATACTTTGTGAAATGTCATTTGGGACCCAGAAGACAAAATTTATTTTCAATGTCATTGATGTACCTGTAAGAATATCATCTCCGATTTTGGTGCTTTGCTTATACTCTGTAGGCTGGATGGGCTCTTCGATATATTGGTCTTTTCTTTACACCGCCGTAAGTGGGACATTCCTGACAATCAGTATAGATCTAATCAGAAACAAAAGATTCGTCCTTCTTCCCCTGAGCCCTCCGATCAGTGGAGTGGAGGTCAGTAAGATTATAGCAGTCTTTTGTCAGTATTCCTCTCACAGTCTTTCCAGTTCCTGGAGTATTTACAATTTCTAACTTCCCCAGTAATTGGATTCTTCGTCGTCTTCGCAATCACAGCATGGCTAGCCCGAGGCCTCCAACTCATCCTAGGCTCCTCCAAACGAGCCACAACCGAACGAGCCGAAGAAATGGGCACCGAACAAGACGCCATCCCGCTCACAGAAATCAGAGCATCAAGTGTCCAAGCATCCTCCAGCACTCACCCCGCAACCCCAGAACGAGCCAGCGGGATATCAACACCACCCACTTTCCTAGAAGACGTAACAAACAGTCTCACAGCTCCGCAGCGAACAAAAAATCCAAGTGACATCAGAATCACCGGTGGACCCCCAGAAAGTGACACCAGCATCCTCGACCCCCTTCCCACACCACCAACCCAAACACCCCTCCCCCTCACGCGTCCCCAAAGATGGGCCGCATTCATAAATTTGAATTTCGATAGACTAACATACACCATCCTCTTCCTCTTCATCGGACTCCCAATCTACTACACAACAGGGTATGCCATGCCCGCGCAGCTAACCCTCAACATCCTCGCCTATTTCTTCGCTCTCTCGCTTCCCGTACGATGGAAACAGGTGTTACACCCAGTCTTGGTATCTTCTGCGTTTACCGTGCCGGGAGTATGGATCATGGGGTTGATCCGAGGGGATACGCTGCATGAGGTATTGGGAAGTTATCGAACTGGTGCGAATTACCTTGCGCTTTGGCATGGGGAGAAAGGTCTTGCTTTGCCTGGTGCTGGGAATAGTAAGTATTTTTATATATCCAGCTTTCTTCATACTCCACATTTCACACTTCATCCTTCACACTTCATCCTTCACACTTCATACTTCACACTTCATACTTCATACTTCACACTTCATACTTCACACTTATACTTTTACACGAATATCACAAGTCAAGACAGTCATACAGTACTAACACAAAAACCCAGTCTTCGGCAGCGTCCTAGATGCATCAATCGTCGCCCTCGCCCTCCCAATGTTCTCCTACCGACAAGAACTCCGCCGCCATTTCTTCGCCATCGTGATTCCAAACGTCACAATCTCAATCGGCTCACTATTCGGCTATCCCGCTTTATGTAAGTCTCATCCTCCTCTCCATCCACCCCTCACTCAAACCCCCCTACAGCATAAAAACCTACAAACCCATCATTGACAAAACCCCAGGCTACGCAATAGGCATCTCCTCAACGCGAAGTCTCGCCTTTGCAAGTCGAAGCCTCACTCTCGCCTTAGCAACGCCCGCAACCAAGAATCTGGGAGGCGACGTGAACACAGTACGTATCATCAACCCATCTCTCACCTTATCTTACCTGGGGTGATGAATGAATATTCTGTATAGCGCAGAGCAGAATGGATTCATGACTGATGCATCTACAGAATGCTACGTTGGCAATCATGAGTGGAATAATGGGCGCCCTCCTTGGAAACCGAATTCTGCAATTCTTGAGAATCCCAGAAGGTAAGCTATTTCCATTTCACAGCCAGAAAATCTACAAGTGTAGGTGTAAAGAAGTGAAAGTGGAAGTGTCCAAGTGAAACACTTACTTTCAAAAAAAGAAGAAAAAAAGCAAAGCTTAAAAATAGAAAGAAAAAGACAGCCCGTGACCACCATTTTTTATGTAGTCAAGTGACACTGTCGATCATCAGCAAACCTGACCCCCTCAACATGGCATCCAATGGCCCCTTTCGGTACCTTGCAGGCAGCTGACGAAAAGAAAACCAGATGACTATGTCACTCGAGGGGTAACATTGGGCGGGAACAGCTCAGCCATCGCAACGGCACTCTTGCTCGTCACGGACCCCCGAGCAGCGGCGCTGTCCAGTCTGAGTATGAGTCTGTTTGGTATCATTACACTTGCGTTGAGTTCAGTACCGCCTATCGTGGAGGCCATCAATTCCTTGGTACATTAGATTTAGAGGGCTAGATTGACCATAGAATATTTTGAAATGATCGTGTGGTATGGTGGGCATCATGTCATAAGAAAAGTAGGTACTTCATGCTCATAAGCTTCTGGAGGGAGAGAAAGCCGACACGGTCGTGAGAAGTTTTTAGGACCCAACATTATCATCATAGACTCGTATCAAATAAGTGTCCCCATGCCAGTACTGTGATCCACTTGAACGCAAGAAAGAAGCTTATTCCAATCTTGTGGGCTGGTTAGAATGTAGTTTTGCAAAGCTAAGGGGTTATCATACCTCTCGATCAAATGTAGGCCAGAGGCAGTCTCAACCACCCCGCTGATCTCTCCGGGTTTCAGTTGAAAAGAGGCATCTTCAAACTCCTTTTGCATATCTCCTCGACCGAAGAAACCCAAATCTCCCATTTTTCGAGCGCTGCTGCAATCAGATTCGCTAACCGCAAGTTGACCCAGGGTCGATTGGCCGCTTTTGATACGCTGTTCATGACCAAGAATAATTCCCATCGCCTCGTCCTTTGTACGTCTAATTTCGGCCTGAATCCATTCATTAGCATACTCTGCTACATCTCGTCTCGTGCGGAGAAGGCTCCGGCTCCAGCTCGAACCACCGCTGTGCCAACGTACCTCACGCCAACTGCTAGGACGCCGACTATCCTTATGCTTGACCAAGAGGTGAGCGGCGCGGATCTTGCCATTGTTCGCAGAGCTGCCATTCGCTCCGCTGGCATCGGGTCTGATTTCCGGCGCGCTATGATGCTCGGCCATGTATGTCTTGAGCTTCTCCGTGTCGGTTCCTGGCGGGGGCTCCCATCGCGACGTCTTTTGCGATTCGTTAAAGTAGTAGGGGAGGTTCTTGGAATTGGAGTGTCGAACCTCCCAGCCGGCGGGCAATCCTGCGTCAGCCTGTTGTATATTTTGGCTTGGTTAGCAAAGCTTCTTTTCTGCTAGCTGTGAGATTGTTGCTAGGGAGTAGACGGGGGGAGGGGGGAGGAGGCTCGAGAGTTTGTTTTGTAAACATGGACGAGAGGGGTGGAATGGGTAGAATGGGTGGAATTCGAGTTGTGGAACGGGTTGAGAGAGCCTACCATTTTGTACTACGTCTATGGTGTGGATCTGGATGTGGATGTGGATGGGGATGTGGGAATGGTGCTGGAGAAAGTGATGCAATAAATTGGAAGACGGAGGATGGAGTTTGCACGATGCAGGTGGTTGTACAGTTTACGCTTTTGCCTTTGGGGCTGCAAGGGGAGAGGGTGAGGGTGGAAGGCCTAAGAAATCCGAATCTGCCTCTGGGCAGCCTGGAGCCCACTGCAGCGGCAGCAGGCGAGTCCCGTGATTGATATGAGGATTGCTCAAGGTCCAGCTGAGTGGAGGTCCACGGTGTGCTGCCACTGCTGCGGGGTCGCGGGTTTTGGAGGCGAGGGAGGGTCAGGTTGCACGTCAGGTTGCACGTCAGGTTGCACGGGCAACAAAAGCATCCGCAAAGGCCTTATCGCTCCTTCCAATCACACATCCCGCACCCGCCAGCTCTTGCGGAGCGCCTTTAGGCCCTGGACCTGAAGCTACGCCTCGCCTCCTAGGTACCACCCCAGCACCACCCCAGCACCACCAGCCTTACTCACTCATCATTTATCCGCTTCCATTTCACTTCCAGACTTCAAAGAACCACCGCCTCTCAAATTACAAACACCACTACCACCCCAACACAACAACCTCACCTACTCAACGACTACACTACACACCACCATACGACTATACGGTTTCCTGACGATCACGAGTCTCGCATCTGGTATCTCGCAAACTTGAATCAAGCAACCCCCAAAAGCTGTGTCGCATAAGTATTCGTCCTACGATCCACTACCCAGCTCCTACTAGATACCAAACCAACCAACCCTCACAATGGCATCCCCAGAATCAGGATACGGCGACGAGCCCAAGAAGAAGGTCGAACAGATCACTTTCCGATTTTGCAGTGAATGGTAAGGTTGCATCTGCTATTCATCTTCATGCCGGAACACTAACATACTCTGTAGCTCCAACATGCTCTACCCCAAGGAAGATCCGGACACCCACCGATTGAACTTCGCCTGCCGAACTTGCCAATACTCCGAGGAAGCTACCTCCGCCTGCGTATTCCGAAACCATCTCAGCACATCCGTTGGAGAGACCGCTGGTGTCACTCAAGATGTGGGATCAGACCCTACTGTGGGTTTACCTCTCTGTTTACTGTGTGGTACAGTTGTGATCTGTGAAGGCAGGATCAAAGGAGGTGCTGGTGGCGCAGTGGATGATTCGCACCTGGAGAATCCCAAGTCTTCTCCAAAAAATATGGAACAAGATGAGGGAGGAACCGTGTCCAGACTTGATGTCCAAGCGACTTCTTGCTGATGTTTGATTTTGCATTTTCTAGCTCCCTAGGTCCAATAAGCCATGTCCAAAGTGTAAGACTGAGGATGCGGTGTTTTTCCAGTCTCAACAGAGAACAGCAGAAACTGGCATGGTAAGTTCTTCATATCCATTAATCTCAATTACATACGAACTGATATTTTCCAGGGATTGTTCTACGTGTGTTGCGGGTGTGGACATATCTTTACATAGAGACTTGGTGGGGTACACACATGGTCCAGGGCGTTTAGGAATCACTCAGGAAGGAAAATGGTGCATGGCGTTATCTGTTGCTAGACAGAATGAAGTTAAATTTGCAATCATACATTTTACATGATCCTTTCCCAATTCAACGCCTTGTCGCCTTTGATACACGGTGCCTCATTTGATACAAGTTTTCTACAAATGCATTGGTGCTAGTGAGAGGATTTTTGACCACTTCATCTTTCTTAGCTCAGTCCCCACGACTCCTACAATCTCATATTAGTACTTTCCTCTGCAATAGATCTTACTGTGGCAAAATCCTACCATTTAATCTCGTTCCAATAGGCTCCCCAGTCTTGTTGATCAACACACAAGCATTATCATCAAATTTCACTACACTTCCATCAGGTCTCTGCAACTTCTTCTTCGTCCGCACCACCACCGCATGTCTGATATCCCCTCTTCGGACCTTGTTCGCGGCGGATGTAGAAACGCTGGCACCTGGGCCTGATTCGGGACCGAAATTCCTCTGCTTCTGGACGACAACAATTATACGATCGCCTGGAGTACGCGTAAGTACCGTCTGGTGTTTCCAGTCAGGAGCTGGACTTCGTACCGATTTTGGCGCCCCGATGCATCTTCATCACCTTTGCGCATTCAACAATGGCGGCGCCAGAGTTGTCTATGCAATTCAGCATCGACTGCGAGGATGGTTAGCTTCTGCATCTGTATACAGTATGTGGATGTTCGAGTAAGCATACCTTTAATTGAATCATTGCGACGGTTGAGAGCAGTCTACGAGTAGATGCTCGGCATCAAAAATCTAGATGTGGTCTGCTCATCTTCAAGGTTCCCGACAAACGATACGATTGGATATTCCAAGGGCGTATGCAGGGGTCCCCGTTTAGGATTAGCGCGGAGACCACCCGCCATCTCAATAACACTGGAACATGAAGGTCCAGCAGATGCGGAATCTCATGCTCTCTCTCTCGTCGTTGGCTCATGAACACCAAATTTCGTGATTCGTGATTTTTCAATTCAAAACTTCCTTCACGTCTTTTCTAGGTGCGGTACTTTTTCAAACTTTTCGCAAAGCTTCTTTCGACCAGTGTTTCGACTTTCTTTTCCGCGTCCACGACTCCACATGCATCTGCGACTCGATCCCTGGCACGATCAACAACCTAAGTAACTCCGTACACTGCCACTGCAACTTCAACTGCACGCCGCTGAGCTGAGAAGAGGTGCGCACCCCCATTGAACAGGGCAGGATCCATTTCCACGAATTCGAGGGCGCCCACCAGGTCAGATTTGTCTGCGCGCGCAGACAAGCCAGTCTATTTTTTTTATTTTCGGGGGGACTACTTGTTTAGGTCCAACTTAAGTCTGTCACTTAGACGTCCCCATTCCACTCCTTTGGTGCGCAAATCCACTCGACGGTCATTCCCAACTACTTTTACAACAACACCAACACGTCACCCTGTTGTCGCATAGCCGAACGGGAACCATTCGTGCATTCTCAAGATGCCTCCCAATAACGTTGCGCCAAAGCATCGCCTTACTCTGGCCCAAATTACTTCCTACGATGATATGCTAACGGATGCGCTGGTGGACCATGTAAACCAACCCTCTTGCGATTAGGAAGCCGCACTTTCTGACGCATTTTCTTAGGTTTACTACTGGACGAGGATCCGGAAAAACAAAAGCGCCTACCATCCCTCCCGTGGAATTTCAGAAGATGTGGTTGCGAAGATCATTCAGACACATGTTATTATCGCAAAGGACACGGCGCAAGCAGAAAAACAATTACTCGAGCTTCCAGGTCTTGCCAGATTCTTACAGGATTTAAAGTCCGACAAGGAGAAGGAGGATTTCAGAAAGCATTTGAGAAAGTACATCAATATTTACCTACCGGATTGTCCTTTTGAGGTTGCGACGACAAATAGGTACACGATCGATACACACGAGGCGGCAGTTATTGCGAGACGAGACATCAAAAGGGGGCAGGTTGTCAAATATCTATGTGGAATTCAAGTCATGATGACTGAAGAGGAAGAGGAAATGATCAAGTCAAGTCGTCGGGATTTCAGTATTGTGGTATCAAGTCGCAACAAGGCCGCTTCCCTATTTCTCGGACCAGCACGGTTCGCGAATCATGATTGCGGGGCCAATGCTAAATTAATGACATCTGGAAGTGCGGGAATGGAGATTATTGCTGTCAGAGATATTGACATTGGTGAGGAGATTACAGTCACATACGGTAAGCTTGAGAGTGCGATTTGTCTTTCGAGAGTGTCTAATTTGATTTGCAGGGGATAATTATTTTGGTGAAGACAATTGTGAATGTCTGTGTAATACCTGTGAAAAGAATTGTACAAATGGCTGGTCACATGGAAAATTTGAGGAAGCCGGAGATGCCCCAAAACCATCTATCGAGAATGGATCGCCTAGCAAAGGCTACTCTTTACGAGCTCGACGAAGACTGGACTCGGAAACACCCTCATCGAGAAACCAGTCCGAGACTCCTGACTTGAATGTACGCCCTCATGTACCAAAAGCCACTCCTAGGTCCTTGTCCCGATTTAAGAATGGTGGAACTCCTGCAGGAACATCGCCATCAGCCGAGCCGAAACCTAGGGGTTCGAATTTGAAGCGAAAGAGTCTATTGAATACCGAAAATTCGAACGAAAACGCAGAAAATGATGATCAAAATGAGCCATCAGCGAAACGTAGAAAATCCGATGTCCACAATCCTTTGCCGCTATCTGAGGAGGCCTCTGGTCTAGAAAGTATCAAAATGGAGGAACAACCATCTGTTTTGATAGAAGCTGTGGCTTACCATCCCTCGCCGATTACTCCCGTGGACGAATCCAGACGTGCGAGTGTCTCGACTACTGCTGAAGATGGTCATACTTCGACAGACGCGACATCTGTTGATGAAGATACGATTGTTGTTGAATTGCCGCCATCTCTGACTGCAGCAATTCCAATGGCAAAGAACCCCGAATTACCCCATCCAGATCCAATGGAACAAGCGGAGGCAGGGGAAACGATTATTGTTGGCGAGTCAACATCTGTGGAACATCCCGCTGTTGATAGCGGCATTGCTGCGGAGGAAGTCATTGTTGCTGAGCGCGAAAGTGTGGATTCTAATAATAATCAGAAGGAATGTCAAGATTCTCCTGAGAATGGTAGGAAGAGATCTATTGAGGATGATACCAGTTCAAAAAATGACGAACGAGTAAAAAAGAAGAGGAATAGAGGTGTCTCCCCAGCTGAAATTGTGCGACCTCCTCGAATTCCGGGGGACTACGTTCTTACAGCATCGTTACTGGCACATCCAACAGCCGCATGGATTCGATGCAAGGTTGACGGGTGCAAAGAGTTTTTCGTGCAAGATGATGCTTATTTCACAAAGTCTTCTTGCCCTCGGTGTGAGCGTCACAGCAAGTTGTATGGATTCCGGTGGCCTAAGACTGATAAGGATGGGCGACACGACTCTGAAGAGCGAGTTCTAGATCACCGTACTGTCCATCGATTCATTGAGCCTGCCGAAGAGCGAATTATTCGCAAGCGTGGAAGTGGAAGTGGCAGTCGAGATTCTACACGAGAGACTACTGAGGTTCCGAGATCCAAGCCTGCTAAACCTGCTAAGGTTGTCAAGCCTTCCAAACCCACTAAGTCTACCAAATCTGCCAAGGCAGCTAAACCTGTTAAGACTCCAAAGGCTCTTAAATCGACCAAGACGGAGAAGTCTAAGAAGTCTGAAAATAATGAGCAGCCCGCGCGAAGACCATATAAGCGTAGAGCTGCAACCAAGCCCATCTCATTGTGGGAGATTTCAGATGACGAAGAAGAGGAGGATGAGGAAGATGGAGATGAATCAGCAATCGAGACGGAGGAAGATGAAGAGGCTGAGGAATCCGAACCCGAAATCCGGAGTCGACGAGATAGGAGTATCAAGAAGGTTCGCAGAACCATGTGAGTGGATAGCTGGAGATTCGAATGAGGCGATGAATAAGATGGGTGTTTCTGGGAAGTGTGCGGGACCAGAGCATACTCTATTCTCGTGGTTGTGTTGTGCATTGTTGCTGTCTAGCCGGCCAGCAAGCATTTGTTTTCGTGCCGTGTTCTTGAGCGAGCATTTGGGTGGTTTTCTTTTTCTTTCTTTTCTGTCTATCTATTCTTCTCCCTGTGATGGAGATCACTATACCAGAAGGTTTGGGCAGAGGTGGTGGTGTTGGGCGTTTATAAATCTTTGTAATCTTTTTTGGGAGAGCTAATGTGTGTATTGGTATGGGCTGGTATGGCATGGAATGGTGTAGCATAGCATAGCATAGTGTAACGTGCGGCTTCGGCTCGGGCTTGGGCTTGGGCTTGGGCTTTAGAAGAGCGGGCAGGAAGATGAATGAGAAATATATGGGTGTGTTTTTTATGGTGGACTTTAGTTTTCTTGTTTTGAGGGGTAATTATAGGATCTTGTTACGGGAAGATCTTTGGGTTGTGTATGCGGTGTGTATGTGGTGTATGGGAATAAAGGGGTGGGGTTGCAGTTGCTGTTGCAGTACGAGTGTGGAGTGTATTATAGCAATTTTCTCTTCGTCTTCCTCTTGATCTTCCTCTTTCTGGGGGTTGGGATAGAGATTGGGATAGAGATTGGGATAGAAGGAGGACAGGGGAGACGAAAGAAGAAAGAAGAAAGAGGAGAGGAGGAGAAGGGTGAGAATATATAGAACCTGGAGATAGAAAGATAGAGAGGAATGAATTAATGAATGGATGGTATTGAAAGGATTTGTCGGGATGACTTGATTATTTTGTATTAATTTTTTTGGTTTTCTGGTTTTCTATAAAAGTAAGGGGTTCTGTGAGGGGGTAGTGAGATGATAGTAGTGTGGTTTTTGTGGGTGAGAGGATAGTGAGGTGATTTTTGTGGGTGAGGGGAAGGGGGAGGGGGAAGGGGGG